GANAGAGAGAGAGAGAGAGAGAGAGCGGGAGCGGTATTGGTAACGAAAGGCGTTGATTATTTTTTTGATGGCCGAGAAATGGGGAGATGACAAGCGGGGCAGGGTCAGGTCAGTCAGCACCGCGCAAACGTCTGAGACTGTGCCGCAAGGCTCTGCGGCCCGGAGAGCCCGGCCAAGCCCGGGCGACAAGCCTCGATTGCCGGGCAGAGAGCGAGCTTGTCGCCCTGCGAGAGGGCATAGCTGGCCTGGTCAGGCCACCGAGGAAGGAGGCCCGGCTTGGTTGCGTGCCAGGCGACGAGGTGGAGGTGGCGCGGGCAGGCGTTGAACTCACCTCTGGGCGAGCGTCGGTGCTGGGGCCTTGGTCGATGCGGAGCTCGTGGAAAACAGGTGGGAGCGCTTCGCGGTGGAGTAGCCCAAGAAACGGAGCGAGGGTGGATGCCAAGGGGGTGGTGGTGATGGTGGTGGTGGTGACGTGAGGTGGAGAACAAAGCCAGCCGTTAAGAAGCTGGTTTGGCTGATCGCGCGCGCTTGGGCCCCGCCGAAATCCCCAACAGTCGAGAGGAGTGCGTTCGGTGCCTCCCCGGGCCTCGCTCTGAGTGGACGCCCGCTGGACCGTGCAGCCTGCTGGTGCTGCCCAGCCGCTCCCGTGGCAAATTTCGCTGCGCCGCAACCAAATGGCCCTAGGCTAGGATGCGCCTACAATATGCACGCAACTTTTGACGTAGGAGCGCCGAGGCTTCAGGCATGGCACTCTTGACTGGCCTCAACGTCTCTGCCGCTCCTCGCGATGCCAGCCTCTTCTGGCCCAGGTCAGGTTTACAGACCTCATCTTGAGCAGGCAGGAAGGAGACTGGCGGGAGGACATCCGCCGCAGTAGTCTCACCCTACTGGGTGTCTGTACATACTGTACTGGATGCGATCTCGAATGGCGCTACGCAGACGGAATCACATATATAAGTTATATGTATGTAGTCGAAGTGACCTCTGTTCGTGAGCCTCGCCTAAAGAGTGGCGCACAACGACGAGCTCCGCGACAGAGACATGAGCGAGGTTCGACCGAAATTGTTGCTGCGTCTCCGGGGGATCCAGCGCGGCGGCGGTCGGGACTCCGTGATGGGCACGGAAAGATGCAGCAAAGCTCTCGATGCCTTTGCCTCACCGGACCGCGCGAAGCACAGATACCTTGTTAACCTAGACGGGGCCGGCTGGGAAACGAGTCTCTGGCTTGGCACCTCGAGAGAGAGGTTGTGTGTGTCGTCTGAGCTGGCCGGTCAAGACCGCCTTCGCGCTAACGATACCGCCGGCCGTTGGCTCGTCTGGGTTTCTTTCTCGAGCCCAAGTCTGCCCTTCTGTCATTCTGCTGCTGCGGCCTGTCTACAGGCCGTGCCATCTCACTCCTGGCTCCATCGAGGTCGGCAGACGCGGCGAGGCACTGCAGAAGCGAACGTGATTGGAGGATATATATGGCTTTTGCTGCTGCTGCCTAGGTTTACAGTCGCGATCTTCTAGAGTGTGTAGGGTAGTGAGTGGGGAGGCACCCGAACCAGGTCGGCGGAAGGGGCGAGCTGATGACAGCGACGCGACACCAGGCTCGTCCGGACCGACCCAGACAGCGGGGTCTTGCGGGGGCGACAGAGGACCAGCCGAGGAGGGTCTCGAGCTGCAGAGGTCCCTCGGCTGGGTGCGTGATGAGGAGGACAAGAGGACGACGACGGTCCGGGGTTCGCGCGCGTCCCTCAGTTGGCCGGGGTCAGGCGCATCTCGTGGTTGCGGCGTCCGTTGACCCAGTCCGGGTTGAGCAGCGTCGTCTCCGGAGTGCCGAACAGGGCGCGGTTGACGGCCTCGACTCCAAGCATGTACGAATGGTCCTGGTTGCCAACCTCGTACTTCCACGAGCCGAAGCGGCCGCGGCTGTAGATGTCAAACTTCTCCAGGGCCGGCAGAAGGGTGGCGAGCGCAGCGTCGCGGCCGAGCGACGGGGTGGGGTAGCCGGGCGTGAACTTGCGGTGGTAGGTCGAGACAATCTCGTCGTCGGGCTTGATGAGCTCAGTGTTGATGCAGCCCTGGATCGTCTCGGCCAGAATCGTCTGCGCGTCGACGGGCTTGAGGTGCGACTCGGAGACCTCCATCATCAGCGACCAGTAGGGGCCCTCCTTGGCCTCGGACGACGGCTTGCCCTTGGACGGGTCGGCGTACTGGAGCGTCGCCAGCTTCTTGTCGGCCTGCGGGCAGTTGTTGGGCGAGTAGTTCGAAAAGACGGTCGCGCGGTAAAAGGGCGAGTCGTCCTCGGGGAAGTAGAGCCAGCACTTGTCGCCGATGCGGGGGGGCAGGACGCCGCGGATGCCGATGCCGATGACGTGGGTGGACGAGAAGATGAGGCCGTCCTTGACCGCCGTCTTGAGCTGGCCGTGGTTGACGCTGGCCGGCAGCTTGATGTTGTCAATCATGTAGTCGAGGCCCATGGTCGAGACCAGGTGCTTGTACTTGATCGTCGAGCCGTCGCTGAGGCTGACGGTGTGGGCCTCGGCGTCGACCTTTTCAATGTACTTGTTGAACTGCAGCTTCTCCTGCGGCAGCGTGGCGGCGACGGCCTTCCAGATGCCGCCGGTGCCGCCATGGGCAGGGAACTTGAAGGTGGCGTTGGGTCCCCAACCTCCGGCGACCTTCTTGTTGAGGGTGTTGGAAACGACGAGCTTGAGGCTCGGTGCGGCCACTCGCTCGCCAAGCCACTTGCACTGCATCATGGTCGTGGGGACGGCCCAGACCTTGTAGTTGTAAGGCCTCATGAAGAGGTCGGCGAGGCCCTCACCCATCTGGCGGAGGATCCACTCGTCGAAAGTCTTGGGGGCATCCTTGGCCCGCACCCGCTCCTCGGCAGCGTCAATCATGCCCTCGATGCACTTGACCTGGTCCTCGACCGGCAGCACAGAGATGTTGTTCTGGTAAGGGTCTGCAGCCGATGCCGAGGGGGGAGAGGGGGAAAGATGAGGAGAGCAAAGGGGTAGGAACGTCGCGAGAGTTGCAGTCAGCACGCGCAAGCTTGAAGGCATCGCCGTGGTCCCTCGTCACAAGCCCTCGCCTCGACTCGACTCACACGGCACCCAGGTCTGCTTGCTGCGAACGTAGGAGACGCGCTGGTGCTCGTACCAGTCACCAGCCTTCGGCAGCGCCTCGGCCATCGCATCGTCGAAGTACTGGTAGTGCGAGAAGATGACGTGGCCGCCGACATCAAAGAGGAAACCCTCCTCGGTGACATCGGTCGAGGCGAGACCGCCGGCCTCCTTGCCAGCATCGACGAGGAGCCAGGTGCCTTGGTTCTGTCAACAACAACGGTCAGGTCGAAGCGAGAGGAAGAAGGAAGAGGTAAGCAGCGGTACACGCTAGCGCCAACCTCCTCGTTGGCCGGCCTTGTGGACCTGCATTGGAAGTGTCCGGGCCCAACTCACCAGCTGATTGAGACGCTTGGCGGCGCCGAGGCCGGTAGGACCTAAATGCAGGAAGGCAGACAGGCAGGCAGACAGGCAGGCAGACAGACGAAGTTGTGTGGCGCGTGGCAAATGGAGAACGAAGAGAGATGTCAGATGGCCTGATCTGCCCAACCCGACGAGTAGGGTCGAGCGGGATCCTCTAGGGCGGCAGCACGCCACTTACCGGCACCGATGACAAGAGTATCCACAGTGGTCTGCGACATGCTGGTCGAGGACAAAGAGTTGTGCGTAGCGAGGCGTAGAAGCCAGATGTGACGGCTATGGTGAGAAGGGAGAAAGAAGTAGCGCACGACGGGCGGGGGCCGGGACAGGTGGTGGTCGGGGGGGGTTCGTGGTGGTTGTGGCAGTGGCAGCGGTCCGAGGGCGCAGGTGTGAGGCGGGTGGCTCAGGAAGGGCCGCGGTTTGAGCTGTGCTCGGCTACAACCAACAAGAAGGAGGCTTGTGCGAAGCAGCGGCGTCGGGGCTGGGCTCACAGAGGCCGGGGTGGACTGCGCGCGCGTTTGTGGAAAAACCAGAGATCCTGCCGGGCCAGGCCAGAGAGCAGAGACGAGAGCAAACGTTTCAGACACCACCAAGGCAGCCAGCCTCCTCGCCGAATTGCGGAATTCCGGCCTCAAGCCAAGCAGGCGCGGTACGGTGCAGGCACGGGGGGGGGGGGGCGCGGTACGGCCTGGCCTGGCCTGGGCGGGTGCGATTTTGCCGCCTATTTTTGGGACGAGATTTTCCTTGCATCGGCACGCCCGCGCCCCTCCCTCTGGCCTGCGCTTTGGGCTACCACAGCACGCCTCCCGATCCATGGGCCCGATGCATCGGTTGGCGAGAGAGGGTGGGGTGGGGCGATGCAGGGTGCAGGTGGGCTCGCTCCGCCCTCCACCGTTTGACTTGGTGGCTGCCGTGGGTGGAAGTCAGAGGCGGACCGCCTTCTTGGCTCAGCCCCGCCACCCAGCGTTAGCGACCCTTCGTACCTCGATCGCCGCCCGCTGGTGGCGACGCATCGATCGGCTCGACGCCCAGCAGTACACCTTTCGGTCATGACCTCCTTGCCCGTACCCGTGCAAGATGTCGCCTCCCTGTCCAAGCGGTTCAAGGCGTGCTGCCGGCGAGGTAAGCTCGATTCAGACGTGCGGTGCCGCTCGGTCTGGCGCGATCTAAGGCATCTCTCCGCCCTCGCCTGCCTCGCCATCGTCTGTCAACAGCCAAGCTCTTTAACGCAGATCAGATCGTCCTCTCAAAGTTCGAAGATCTCACGAACAAGCTTGGACTGAACCACGCCGAGGCAGGCCAAGTCTTCCGCGCCGCTGCTCGCACCGTGGCGCCCAGGCCCGCACCAGTCTTAGGCATCCTCATGGGTTCGCTGCCCGACGAAGTCGCCCCCTACGGATCGGAGGACGCGGCAGATGACACTGACGGCTCGAGCTCCGAGCCGTCTTCTCTTCATAGTCCTGCAGCCGCAGCTGACACTCTGCTGTCATCACTCATTCACGAGATCCATGGCAACTTCGATGGCCAGCCCGCTTCCTCATCGGGCTCCTCCTCCCGTACATCAGAACAGGGCTCGAACCGCTCACACACGAAGTCTCGAAGCAGCTCTCCGCCCGAGGTCGATGTCCTCGGATCTGGCGCATCGGTACGCACCGCAGCGGCACATACGGACATCATTGGTGGGAAGCGCAAGGCCTTCGACCAAGGCGACGCACTCGACAGCCGCGGGGCTCTCAACAACGGACCAGCCACAGGCGAGGCCTGTTCGGTTCACTGCGGTCAGATCGAGGAGGCTCTCTATGATGGGCAGCCCCGCCGCATCCTGACCACCGGCGACACGAGCCTTGATGACCTGCTCAATGGCGGAGTGTATCGAGGCGCGTTGACAGAGATCGTCGGCGAGAGGTGGGTCCAATCCGAACTGTACTCCCCCCTCCCCGGCGCCGTCGCTTTTGATCTGACGATCGGACAACCTGATCGCACCCGCTCTTCGATTTCAGCACATCCGGCAAGACCCAGCTGGCCGTACAGCTGGCAGTTTGCGCGACGCTCGGTCTTTTGCCCACGGGTCGCGAGCTTGGTGCAAACGCTGTCCACGACTCTGCTGGCCCGATGGCCTCGAACGACTCGGTAAAAGTCAGCGGTACGACGCCTCGCCTCGACGTCGGTGGCGCGACAGCAACGGCAGGCGGCTGCTGCGGAATTGCCTACATCACCTCGGGAGGGCACAGCGCTGCACAAGCCTTTGTCCGACGAGCCGTCGAAGTCGCAGACTCGGCGGTTCGCAAGCGACTCCGAAACGCTGCTGCGTCTGCTGAAAGTTGCCCCAATCAACAGGACGAGGACGCCGCCGTAGATCAAGCTAAGGGTCAGCTTTTGGCCAATATGCATATCGCCTGTGTCAACGACGTCGAGGCACTCGACCATGCGCTCAAGTTCACGCTGCCAGGCCTTTTCGCGAGGACCCACCAGCCGGCCGCGACGCCGAGCGTCCGCTGCGCACATACAAGCAGCGCTGGCCAGAGCGGGCAACAAGCCCCTATTGGACTCGTCATCGTCGACAGCCTCCCACCCCTGTTTCACGAAGATTCTGCCACGCAAAGCATGGACAATCTCGTGCACAGGTCGAGGGCCCTCGTCGAGATATCAGACTCTCTGAAGCGACTTGCGGGATCAAGTCCAGGGCCGTACGGCCAGCGCGCAGGAACCATGGGCGCTGCAGTTGTCGTGCTCAACCATGTGAGCGACGCTTTTGACGCAGAGAAAGAGATCGCCAACCGCTTTGTCTTCTCCTCGTCGGATCGCTTGCGGGCAGCGCGCAAAGGCATCAATACGCCCAACGATGCAGCGCGCGATGTTTGGGAGGCCGACGCGATGCTTGCGCCTATGGCACTGCCGTACGCCGAGCAGGGGGCCTTTTTCACCGGCCTGCTGGCCTCGGTTCCGCCGACTCTGGCCGAGACACTGAGCCTCGTCGAGCCTCTCCGAACGCCATCCAGCTCAGGGAACCTCTCCTCGACGCAGCTTTACGCGCTACAGCCAAAGACAGCCCAGCTGGGTCACGTTTGGGCCAATTCGATCAACGTTCGGCTCATGCTATCAAAGACGAGGGGCCGAGTCTCGCCAGATTCGGCGGGCCTCGAGTACGGCCTATCCCGCGATGCGACGAGTCCCCAACGTCCACAGCCTCACCTCCTCAACGTTCGTCGCGCCACGGTGGTTTTTTCCTCGTGCGGGCCATCCATGCTCGACGGACCAGGGAGCTCATGGACCGGCGTCGGCCCCAAACGGACCCGGGTGTCGGATCGGCGAAACGTTCGGTTCGTCATCCGTCCAGATGGCGTGGTTGCCCTGAAGCCATACACGTCGTTGATGGTGGAAGCGAGGCCGCCTGCGCGCGAAGCGTCCAACGCCCCCGACATTACCCCGGGAACGGCGAGGATAACCCCGTCGGCGACGCACGACGACGATGCGCACTCCGAGACCCTTGACCTCGACAACGACCAGCTCGCCGCTTTCGAGGCGGATCTCCAGAGCGCCTCGCTCTCAATCGACTGACAAAGCCTGGCACATCAGGCTGCCTGAAGGCCGATTTATGCCATACCGGGGCAGCGACCGCTGCAGGGACGGGGGTAGGGTGAGGTGGCGAAGCACCTTGTGATTGGCGTATGCAGCTCGAGCTCATCTTACCAGCGTGCGGCTCGTCTGACTTCTCCAGAAGGCACCCTCCGGTTTCTTCGGGACGTGCACCTTGCCGACCGCCCCGTGTGCGGCGCGCGCTCTGGCTCGGGGCCCCTCTGCACACACAATACGGCCCAACCACGCTGCAGTATCGAGCGCAAGCCTTCTCGTGCGCTTGGCCACCTCTTGGCCTTTGACTCTCTTCCTTCATCTGCTCATTTGCGTGCTGGGGATATCAAGAGGAACGTCTTTCGCTGCGGTCGGCAACGAGCTCTAGGTAGCGGTGGTTTTACATTGGGAGCGGCTCTCGGGATGCGATGTTGCCCCGCCAGTCTTTTGCTTTGCGGGGCTGGAGGGAGAAGATGGAGAACCCGTCTTTTTGAAACGCCAATTCCCGCTCGAGGAAGAGAAGAGAAGCCCGTGGGCGGTCTAAGACGACTTGCCGGCGACGTCCTCAATCTTGAGCTCGCCCGAGATAATCTTCTCGAGCATCTTCTTGGGCACGGTCCAGTCCTTGAACATGTGGTGGGGGATGTTGTGGGTGCGGCAGTAGGTTGCGAGATCGTTGTCCTGCTTGTCCTTGACAAAGAGGACGTCGGCGTGCCTGGCCGCCGACATGTCCGAAATGCCGTCGCCGGCGAAGAAGAGGATGGGTCGGCTCTCGAGCTCGCGGTAGGGGGCGATCGAGAGGCTCTTGTCGTGTCCAAAGTGGTTGTCGGGGTGCCTGTAGACGAGCTCCCAGGTCTCGCCCTTCTGCTCCGGGTCAGTGAACTTGACCTCGTTGGAGATGATGTCAATCTCGGCGGCGTCCTTTTCGCCGATGAGGTTCGAGAGAATGGAACGGATGATGGGCGTCATGCCGGACGAGACGATGATGACGGGAATGTTGTTGGCCTTGGCGAAGGCATAGAACTCCTTGAATCCGGGGTCAAGGGTGACGTCTGCGAGGGCGGAGAAGAAGACAACGGCGGAACGAGTCAGTGTCTATGCTGGGCCATGTATGATGCGACGACGACCCGCGCATACGGCAAGTGATCCGAGACTGGCTGTGCGCCCAACCCGAGTCTCGAGGTCCGACAGAACAAGGCAGCGCCGCAGGCCCTCTATACCTCGCAATTTATCCGTCCTGGATGCTCCATTCTGCGCGCATGACGTCTCTCTCTGGCTGAGCTGGAGTGGCGGGTCTTTGCCTCACTGGCCCTTTGCGTCGTGCAACCGCGAAAAGCCGGTCGGATTCATACATGCCATCGAAAGCGGGCGCGGCCGGGCTACTCACCCCTTCGGACGAGCTCCTCCATCTCCTTGAAGGGCCTCTTGACGCTCTCAATCATCGTCTTGAAGCCCTCGCGGTAGCTGACGCGCTCCTCGACGATCTCGACGTTGATCTTCCTTCGCTCGGTGTAGCCCATGCCGACGGTGTCGACCATGTGGTCGTTGGAGTCCTGCATTGACGCCGGACAGCCGGGAGACATTCGAGAGGAATCGTGGCAGCATGTAAGCCTGTCAGTCGCAAGCAACGACGGCGGATGCCGAGGGTGGCGGAGCGAGCCGCGACGAGGGCCCGAGGTGGCCAGAAAGAGCGCAGCGACTTACGAGGAGGGTAATGGTGCCATCGAAGTCGGTGAGGAAGACGTACTTGGCGTCGGCGTACTTGAGGTGCGACATTTTGGGCAGCGGTTGGTGTGGTGCGAACCTTTCGGGGGAGGTGGAGAACGAGGTCGAGGACGAAGAGGGGGAAGAGTCGGTGTAGGATCGCAATCGGGCCAAGAGCGAGGAAGGTGACGGAGGGTGTGGTGTTGGTCGAAAGGGAGGAAGAGGTGTGGCTGCGCTGGTTATAAGTACTCGGTGAATCTCCCGCCCTTCCCCCCCTGTTTGCAGCGTGAACCGCGACGGGGGCGCAGGCAGGTGTAGGGTCCTCTGGGTCTGGGCCTGCCAGCAGCGTGCGCGACGACGGCAGGAGGCGAGGAAGGAATCCAGATCCTGGGCTGGCTGGCTGGCCCGTCCGGGCCGCATCGATCGCTGCTGTGTGCGGGCGCAGAGATCCCAAAGAGGTCCCGCCGCGGCCGCTGGTCTTGTGCATCTCCTCACCACCCGCTCGCCTCAGAACACCCCCCGCATGGAAGGGACCTTAAGGAGTGAGAGTTAGCTGCTCGAAACGCTACGCTGCTGTGGCATCGGCGCCACCGTCCGCCGCACACGCTGTCCACAAGCTAAGGGGAGATCCCTTGCTTGCTTGCTTGTTGGATGGGCAAGACGTAGGCTGGGTGCTAGGGATCCCAGTCCGAATGCAATCGCCAGGAGGTTGGCGAACCCATCCACCTCCTCTCTGGCTAGTCCATCCCCCGACCGCCTCTCTAGCCACCGTGCGTAGGGACGCTGTCTGGGCGGCACCGCCCAAATTGCTGCGTCTCGCAGATCGAAGGAAGGGCGCGCGAGAACGGGTTCATGCCGTCCCTCGTCACCAGCCCAAAGGTGGGTTTCCCAACCCCGTGCTCTTTGCCTCGTACAGTAGGTAGCTGGCCGACGCCTCGCGAGGGGCGTCGGAGTTTGTCGTGTCAACGTACGTTCGCTGCTGGACCTGACGGGTGCCTCGGAGATCCAGCCGGACGCCAACGGTCATCATCTTGCAGCCGCGGCGTTTTCTGTCGGCAGCCTGGCGTGCAACCCATAGGCAGGCAGCGCCCTCAGCTAGTTTGACCGACCACACGTGGGCACGATCGATAACGTCGGGCGCCAGGGACGCGGAACCGAGCACCCTCCCTTGGTCTTCCTCCGGCCTGCCATCACCGATAGGAGCATTGATGCTGCCGTGGCTCTGTATCACACATCGGGTCCCCGGCCTCGACGCGGCCAGCGGATCCCTCTGCACAAGAAGAGGCTCCGAGAGCGCTTGTTGTTCGTCTTTTGCCGGTACCTACAGCAGAGCGTCCGGCCACCACGACAAAGGAGCCTACAACGCCCAAGGCGACCTGGGGCCCCGTCCCGTCCGGTAAGCTGCCACTCTTGCGGATGCTACGTGCTACGCTACCACTTCTTCTACTGTTGCATCGAGAGATCGTCGTCGACCGACGATTCGTTGGGGTGTCCGTTGGAGCCTTGGGGCTGACTGTCGGCAGCGGGCCCTGTCGGGGCGCCCTCGACACCCTGGCCTCCTCCGCCACGTCCAAAGTCCTTCCAGTTGCGGTTGAATTCGAGGTCCAGCGCGCGCCCGCCGTAGACGTAGTTGCTGAACTTGGCAATGGCCGTCTCGGCCTCCTCGACCGTCGCAAACTGCACCACTCCGCAACCCTTGGACCGGCCGTGCTCGAACAGGATCTCGGCTTCGTCGACCTTGCCCGTCGTCTGGAAGAGCTCCACCAGGTCCTCGTTGGAAGTCGACCAAGGAAGCTGTCACCACGCGCAGTTGCGCAGCGCGAGCAAAGGGCAAGGGATGGGATAGAATTCAGCGTTGAGCCATCCATCCGTGCCTGGACCCCATGCCCACGTGCTCGGACCAAGAGAGCAGGGAATACTCACGTTCCTGACAAAGATCTGCTGGCTGGGATTGGCGGGTGGCAGTTGAGGCGCGGGACCGCCGAAGCCAGCGCCACCGTATCCGCCAGAGGGACCGCCGCCGTAGCCCATCACGGCGCCGCCCCCACCAAACCCGCCAGCCCCAAAGCCTCCCCGACCGCCAAAGCCTCCGCCGAATCCACCCCGACCACCGCGCATCCCTCCACCGAAGCCGCCGCGGCCACCGCCGTAACCCATGCCACCCATGCCGCCCGCGCCTCCGGCGGCAAAGCGATCCTCGCGCACCTCAATCATGCGGCCGTTCCAGTCAAAGCCGTTGAACATGTGGATGGCGTTCTGCGCGTCGGCCGGGGTGTCGAACACGACGATGCCCGTGCCCTTGGGACTGCCGTCGGGTGCCATGTTGACGTCGGCTCGGATGATGTTGCCCGCATTGCGAAACAGGTCCTTGAGGTCCTGCCACCCGACGCCAAACGGAAGCTGCGGCAGAACGGGAGTCGCGCGGTTGAACGAGAGCGGATGCCGTCAGCCCGCAATCAAATCCAAACCTCGATCTCGCAACCGGGCCCGGCCACTCACATTGTTGATGAAAAGCTGGGCGCTCCCGACGCCTCCGAATCCTCCACCGTATCCTCCGCCACCATACCCTCCGCCGTAGCCTCCTGCGAAGCCGCCATAGCCGCCGCCGGCGAAGCCCCCGGGGAAGCCACCTCCGTAGCCGCCGCCGAAACCGCCACGCATCATCGGCCCGCCGAACCCGCCTCGGCCGCCGAAACCACCTCGAGCACCGCGGCCACCAAATCCGCCGCGACCACCAGGGAACACAGGGGCGGCACTGCTTCCGTATCGGACCTCATCCTCTCGGTCCTGCCGGCGAGCAAGCACAGAGCCCGCGATCGGGAGGGGTTCGAGGACACTGTTGAGCTCGTCATCGCCTTTTTGTCAGACCTGGGACGGCGAGCGACTCACCTCCCGGACAAAGACAGGGCGACCGTTGAGCTGCTTGTCACTGAGTTCCTTGATGGCCCTCTGCGCCTCCTCAGGGCTGGTGTATTCAACGATGCTGTCAGATTTAGAAAAGAAAAGCGGCGTTTGCGCGGCGCACAGGGTGAAACGGGCGGTCAGCGGCGACACTCGAAGGGCATCCTGACGTGTGGGACGGTTTCGGATGTCCAAGCTCACCCGCAACCCTTGGACATGCCGTTGGGCAGGGATAGGACCTCGGAGAAGACGACGTTGCCGGCTGTTGAGCGCCAATCCGATCCGAGAGCGTCAACGTCGACAGCGTTCGAAACGTGCCGGTCGGTGGTGCGACGGCGAGATCGTGAAGAGGCGGATTGAAGTTGGAGCCGATCGACCGATCAGACAAGATGCCCCATTCCGAGAAAAGCATCCCAACATCCCCCGAAGAAGAAGGCAACGTAGGCGCAGCCACGATTGTTGCAAAAAGTCCACGAATACCCGTCAGCCTCATATCCTTTCCCTCTCTGCGCCTTTTGTGATCCATCGCCGCGACCCAGCTGCGCCACAAATCGTCGACCGCAAGGGTGTCTGAGACGCCGCCGGCTGCTTCACCCTGGCGGGGGTCCGTCGCCAGTGGCCGTGCCAGGAGCATGTTGCGCAAGGTCGAAGGGGCGAAGCTCGCCCGTACGGAGTGGCCCGGGCGTTCCCGCCGATCCATGAGTCTGCATCGCCTTGGTCCGAGGTATTGGACGGCAAAGGCTGGTACCTCGTGGCGATGCAAACGCGAGCAGGACCCTCGGTACCGCGTGCAGACCTTCTCCCATCCCTCGACATGGCAGAGGCTGTCGTGCTCCGGTACGAGGCGCCGCTATGCGCGTCTTGTGAATGCGCCCATCAACGAGCAAAGATTGCGCCAGCTGCTACCCACCCTCCCTCATAAAGTCCTTGAGAACGTTCCACTTGACGTCATAGCTCAGGTTTCCGACGTAGACCCGGCAGTTCTTCTGGCTGCGCTTGGATGCTTCATTGGCGGCAAACTGGCTGGCGACTGCTCGCTCCTGAAAGCTCTTCGGACGGCTACTGCCTCCCTCCCTCCGGTCGGCAGGACCGGCAGAGGCGCTCGCACCACCGGAAGCGCCTGGCGAGCGGGAACGGGCGCGGTCTTGAGACATGGCTTGGCGGTCGTAGCTGCCCGGAGACTGTCGTCCTCGAGAATCGGAGTGGTCGACTGTGTGAGAGAGAGACGCGATATCGGGCCAGACCGGAGGTACGCAAGCGGGCAGCGCGAAGAGGGCGTAGATGGTGGCCGCAAGGATGGAGAGGACGGAACGGATGCCGAGTGCGACGGGAGCGAGGCTTCGAGGTCAGCAAAGGGTGTCAAGGACCTCGCCTGAGCGAAAGCCGAGGGACACAGCGCAGGGTGCGTTGGAGGGGCGAGCGGGGTATCGATCAGGCGTCAGAATCATGAGTGTCTGCACTCACCGTCAGACATGATCTAAGGGTCGCGGTATTGTCGTCCGTTTCGAGCGAGCAAGGATCAGCCACGCAGTCCGTCTGGTCGAAAGGCGGCAACGACGGCAAAAGGCTGGGTGGCAGGACGTTGCTGCCGCTGTGTGGTTAGATCCGGCCGTTGACTGGCAAGGTCGCCGTGCGTGTTCAGACAAGGAGTGACCACCCAGAGGGTCGTTGGCGTTTTCCTGGAATCGGTCCGAGAGGGACGGGTGCGTAACGTGACGGGACGGGATGGGATGATGGTGTGGAGTGAGCGCAAACAGCGACACGGCAGCCCGCCGGTGATTCAGGATTCGGATGCGGTCAACCCAAAAAGGCGAGCCGTGCCTGCCCTCAGGCTGCGCGGTGTGATCGAACTGAAGGGCGCAAAAAGAAGAAGAATGCATTGACGGGGACTCGAACCCCGGTCGAGTCGAATCGGTTAATCGTCGGATGATCCAACGATGAGTGGCAACGACTCATGATACCCCTACACTATCAATGCTTGTTGTGAAAGGAGGCCTAGAGTAATGTATATATAGAATAGCAACAAGTCTGCACAAGGGCTTCCCCCCTGAAAGAGAGGCCCCTGCGCCGACCAGGGCCCGCCGACGAACGGGCCACGGCGAGGGCGAGGCGAGGGCGAGGGCTGGACGTGCTGGGCCAAGTGGCTGCCTGCCGTCTGGCCGTGGGCGAGGGTCTCTCGGCGTGTCTTGGCGAGCGGGGGGGAAGAGAGAGAGGGGGGCGATGGCCACAGCACCTGGTCGTCGTCTCGCCCGTGCCCACCACTCTCCGCCTTCAGACTTCAGCTCTCTTCTATCCCGCAGTCAATTCCTCACCAGAGACTGGCCAAAGATCCGACCTTCGCCGGCCATTCGCAAAGCGGCTTCCTGCCCGCTCTGCTGTTCCTCAAAGGCCCTTCGCGCACAACGCCGAACCTTGTCGTCCCGATCACGTCCCCGCAGGAAGCTTCGTGACCGCCCAAACGACCCTTCTGCAGCTCGGTCTTCCCTCCAGCTTCGTCCAAATCGACATCGACGGTGTGCGCCGGAAAGGACTGCTCTCGAGATATCGGTCGACCTCTAAGCCCACGGCAAAGGCTGCGCAGCGTAGCAATCGAGCTCCGTATTGTGGACGCATCAGCACCACGCTGTGCTGCACTCGCCCTGCGGAGCGGGTTCGATCAGCAGAGGGCGTCACGTCCTTGGAAGCGGCCGCAATGCACCACAACACGAGCCTGCAACAGCGGCAACGCCAGCAGCAGCAGCAGCAGCACTTTATGGCGAGGCAGCCTCCTGCACTGGGCGGCGGCGGCGGGCCCACCATGGGCTTCCAGCCGCCGCCTCAGGCCGCTTACAAGGGCACGCTAGCGCCCGGCACCAGGGTCAAGGTCGGAGGCATCACCGTCACCGTCAAGCGCTACCTCAGTGAAGGCGGCTTCGCGCACGTCTACCTCGTCACAACGGCCCAGCCGATCCCCATGCCATCCTCGGTCACAGGGTCAGTGGGCGCGTCGGCCTCGAAGCACGCCGCAGGCACCCGCGGCGAGACGACGCATGTCCTCAAACGCATGGCTGTGCCCGACAAGGAGGCTCTGGCTGATGTGAGGAGAGAGGTCGAGGTCCATGTGAGTCCGACTGCCGAACCTTCGACCCTTTGCTGGACGCCCCGGTTCTAATCACGCCTGCCCAAGGCCTTCGACGCCTGCCCCTCTGGTCCCCCACCGGCGGTAAACAGAAACTGCTCCGGAACCAGCCCAACATTGTCCACTTCATCGAGGCCTCGGCGACGGCCCTACAGGGCGGAGGCTACGAGATCTTCATCCTGATGGAGTTTTGCTCGGGGGGTGGCATCATCGACCTCATGAACGCCCGGCTCCGTGACCGCCTGCGCGAGGATGAGGTGCTAAAGATATTTGGGGACGTCTGCGCTGGAGTCGCCGTCATGCATCATCAGGATCCGCCGCTGATGCACCGCGACCTCAAGGTGGAAAACATCCTAATGTCGCCGTCCGTGGGGCCCGACGCCATCCCTGGGTCCCGCTCCGCCTCGTCAAACCTCAAGGCCACCTTCAAGCTGTGCGACTTCGGGTCCGCCGCACCCGTACTCAGCCGCAGGGCGCCCAAGAGCATGGACGAGGTGAAGCGGGTCGAGGCCGACCTGAACAAGCACACCACGCTGCAGTACCGCGCGCCCGAGATGGTCGATGTCTACCAGCGGCGGGTCATTGACGAAAAGGCCGACATCTGGGCACTCGGCGTGTTCTTGTACAAGCTCTGCTACTACACGACCCCGTTCGAGGAAAACGGCGGTGGGCCCTTGGCCATCCTCAACGTCCAGTACCGCTTCCCGCCGCAGCCGGCCTACTCGCAGAAGCTCAAAGACCTCATCGCATCGCTCCTGATCGAGCAGAGCACCCAGCGGCCCAGCATCGACCAGGTTATTCTCGACGTGCACAAGATACTGGGAACGAGGCCACCCTCGAGCGCGGCCCACTACGCCCAGCTGGCGCTCTCGGGCAAGATCGTCGCGCCGCTGCCTTCTGTATCCGTCAGCACCCGCTCAGCGGACAACAGGCCCGTGTCCAGCCAGAGCGGCGCGCGCCCCTCGGCCGAGGCCGCTCTCATCAGCATCGGTCCCACCAAACAGGAGCGCGAGGAGGCAGAGACCCGTCAGTTGGCCATGCAGACCGAGAACATCACGCCGATGCGCCGCGGAAGACCGACGAAGCAGGCGGCGCCGTCCGTGACGCCCGATGCGGGAGGATCCGTCGCTGCCAGGCCGAGCTCGCCAAAGAAGCCCTCTTCCCATGGCGACCGTCCAGCGGCGACATCGTACGCCCACAAAAGAAGTTCGCCATCGGACAGCATCCCGGCAGCACCGACCTCGAACGGTTTCGACGACTCCTTCAAGCCTGGCCCGTCCCCCTCCTTCGCCCTTCGTGCCGGCGCGTTCGCTCCACTTTCACCGCCGTCGAAGAGCACGGTCACTCCTCCGTTCAGTGCCTCCGCCGTGCCGGGCTCGCCGATCAGCCTTCCTCCCAGACCCAGCGAGAATGCCGGCTCACCGTCGCCGCATCTCTTGCGGCCAATCAACGGCGCCTCTCCGGGCCCCAACGCTGGCAGCCAAGCTCCCTCTCCGTTCCGCCACAGTCCAGCGCTCCCCGGCTTCAGTGCTACCAACAGCCCAGCCCCTTCACCGGTGCCAGGACCTAACGGCGCCGATCTCCTTCGCACCAAGCCTGCCTCGCGTCTCGGTGACGACGATGGTGCCGCCGGACGCTTCCCTAGCGTCGAGGAGATAGACGCGCGGTACGCATCGCCTTCGCCGGTCGCCTCGCCACCGGCCTCGGCATCCTCGGCACCCCCGAAGACTGCATCAATGCAGATTCCGGGTCTGTCTAGCAGAGCTAGCGTTGGCGCTTTGGCTGGCAGGATCAACCGTGCCAACACGGTGGACATTGCCCAAAGCGGAGAGGCGGCAATCCATCCTTCTCTGGGTGTAGCGAGCGGCGGAAATGTGCAGCGGCGATGGCAACCCAGCATTGCAGACCCTGCGAGCCGGGGCGATCTCTCCAGAGCACCCGTCGCAAACCCTATGCCGACCAAGCCGCCCGGATACCGGACCTCCAAACTGTCGTCCCAACCACTCCGCAGGGACTCAGCCTCCGCCGCATCAGAGGCGAATGCCGCACCGTCATCCCGCACGGGCACGACGTCTGCCAACCGATCGGACGTTACGGTCGCTGCGCCAAGCACGGAGAAGGGCAGGGCTCAGGCCGAGGATTGGCTGACCGGAGACGGGCTGGAGGACGCACTGCGATCGCCACCATTGTCTTCACGGTCCGATGAGGCCAATGGCATCGTCGGCGCTCTCGCAGACGTCAAGCTCGGACAGCAGCAGTCGCCCCTTCGATCGGCACCCAGGCACGAGCTTCTGTCGGACGTTCGTCCGAGCAAAATGGAAACGACAGTCTCTCAAGGAGCTGCACACGAGACCTTGTCCAGCGACGACGAAGCCGAAGGGCCGGAGGACGCCGACCCACGGCGTCCATCAGCTTCGACAGTCAAATCCTTCGGCCGAGGGGTACGGAGCTGGACGGCTATGCGCGCTGCGACCGAGACTGACCGAGGCCCTGACGAGGCTGCCGCAGGTCGCTTGCCTCCCGGTCGCCTCAAGGCTCCCTCGTGGCTGGTCGAGCAGCAACCGGATCAGCCCGAGACTGCCAGCTCGGCGATCCAAGGCCTGCCCAAGCTCGAGACTGCCGGGCTCGGTAGCGGGACAGAGGCCAAGCCGGAGCCCTCACGCCAGTCTTCCGTCGCCTCCGTCGTCTCACCCACCAGGTCCGAGATCGCCGCCAACCAGAAGCTCGACGACGCCGCTCGCGACGCGCAGGAGAAGCTCGAGGAGCTGCTGCGGGGTCCGCACGAGGGGGCTTCACCGCCACCTGGGCCCGAGAAGCTCACCGGCGACGAGCGTTCCGAGGATCGCATGCCGCCTCCGCTTCCCTCGCGGGTACCCGCTCCAGCCTGGGACGATGACGAGGATGAGATGCGAGCGCTGCCGCTGCCCGAGCTCCGAGCTGCGTCTGCAAGCCGCCCGGTCGAGACCGGCAACCTGGTCGATCTGGGAAGCCAGGACGAAGCGCCCCGCGCAGGGGTTGCGCGGGGCATGGCTGCCAGACAGAACACCACCTCCTCGACCGGCCAGTCGTCGTGGCTGCAGGATCTCATGGACGACGAATCTGTGGCCGCAAGCGAGGTTCCCAGCGCCGAAACTGGCCCAAGGCTGCATCGGGAGCCTCCTAGCTTGCCGAAGCTGCAGCCGAACGCCATCGGAGAGGCGAAACAATATGCGGACGCCGCAACCTCGCCGCAGAAGGCGGTGTCGTCGGATGATGCTGCGCACTCGGAGACTGGCGACGTTCGCTCCGGCGTCGAGCAGAGTTTCTCTCCGATGTCGACCCGCGGTCAGGAGGGAGCCACCCGCCCAGAAGAGCCGACTAAGGCCCGAACCGATGCGGCTGCCAAGACCAAGGACAACAGTGGCGACGTCACATTGGCTCCTGTTTCCGTGGACCGGACCGCCCCCTCGAGCCATAGACACGGACAACCGAAGGTAGAGCCAGGCTTCGTGCGTCAAAGGCAGCACTCCCTTGTCGGAGAGCAGCGCGACCATGAAGGAGCAACGTCCAAGGCCGAACGGCCGTCTGTCCCTGCTGCAGACCCCTCCAAGGAGCCCACCCCTCGCGCCTTCGCTGGCGGTCAGCCAAAGATCATCATGCCGAAACCTATGGCGCTGAGACCGTCCAACAGCTCCTATGGACGCGCTGGCGGCGAGCCGGCCCGCGCGAGGCCGATGGGGGGGCTCAAGCCCTGGGAAAAGGAGGCCGCGGCGGCGGCCGAGATTTCCAAGTCGGGCATCGTCCGTTCTTCTGGCCTGCGCGGTGATCACGCCGCCGACCCATCGGACCACGCAGAGGACGAGGGCGGAGGCGCGCCGCGCAACGATTCCGCTGAGCGCTTCGGCGGCGTCAGCAGCCTCATCTCCAAGTGGCAGCAGAACGTCGAGTCGCAGGCGCCCGGATGGGGGAGGATCGGCAGCAGCTCTTTGGAGGACCAGGGCCACCGACGCTCGTCGAAGCTGGCGGGGCACGGGAGGGGCCTGGGTCCTGCGGTGGCCGACCAAGCGGCAGCGTCCGTCCAGGGCCGCAGAGGCGAGACGGGCGAGACCTAGCTCGCTGCCCTCCGCGGCCTCTGCTGTCCGGATCGGCGACCCTCCCGCTGCAGAGCGAACAATGTTGTCAATCCTCGACCCTGCTAGCTGCCTGGCTGCCTCTGGTCCCTGTTTCGTATTGGGCCACACACGGACTTTCTAGGAGCGCTGCTGCTTTCACAAGTACTTGCTGTTTGCTCGCCTCTTGCCCGGCCGCACAGACACGCGGCGATGATGGCAGGCCGAATGAATAAGGAGGCCACGACATGAGGATCCGACAGGCGGCTGTGAGCCCAGGATGTAATACGCGTATGTCGGGAGACGGGAAAGGGCTGCCGCATCGATTGCAGTCGGCCCGGACTCGATCAGCCACGCCAAAAGCTCGTGTCCGGGCCTCGGCCACAGCGAGGGCTCGACGGGCACAGCCCACCGTCGGCCTACCTGCCTACATAGATAGCGCCGGGCGGCACCGGGGGTTGGTGGACGAGGGGCGGGCTAAGGCCACCTGACTCGCAGCCAGCCAGGCCACGCACGGCACCAAGATCCGGTCCCTGGACCTGGGCCGGTCGGACGGTTTGGGCGGCGGACTGGCTGCTCGCCCCACCAAGCCTGAGTTGTGAGCATGCCGAGGGTCTCGAGGGGGTCCGTCCGGCCGGCTCAGCAGACGTGACGGGTCAGGCTTGGCTTTGGGACGGAGGCGCACGGGAGACAGGGAGGTCGGCCAGCAAGCCTAGCCTGCCCAGCTACGGCCGCTCCTCGAGCAGGCCCTGGCCAGCACCGCGCAGCACGCGTCCCCCGACCGACTGACTGACCGACCACAGAGGGGCCCGGGTTTCAAAAAAGAAGTTGAATTGGGCCAGGTCCAGCGGGGCTCTGGGCCCAGGCAGGCAGGCAGGCAGGCAGGCAGGGGTCCTAGGCTGGAGGCGACGCGCCAAACCCTGCGGCCAACGACCGGCCTGGCTAGAGGGCAGGCCAGCCGAGGCAAGGCGCGAGAGTCGGGGAGGAAGTTAAGGGGGGGGAGGCCCGTCTGGCCAAGGGCAGACCAGCAGGGCCAGGCTGGTCTGGCAGAACGACGACGGGTTTGGCGCCTTGCGCTGAGCCAGCAAGCGGCCGTCTGAATTTTGCAACCCTCTGCCCGCTGGCCTGCCTGACCGTGTGCGCCTGCCTGGCAGCGAGGCAAGAGAAAAATGCGATGGGTTTTCGGCCACACACACACACACACACACGGGCGGCCGCGACGACGGGCAGATCGTCTATTGGGCTGGCAGGGCCCCAGCACAGCACGGCGCAGCCGCCACGGCCCACCATCCATCCCCGACCCCACCAGCAGCCACAGCCCTGACCAACATCATCACCATCACCGTCACCAAAATCACCACCACCACCACCATCACCGTCACCGTCATCGCCACGCTCCCCATCTCCCGTCATCCTTGACTCTGTCCACCTCCACCGCCACCGACACGGTTGTTTCCTGCATCCACCAGCCTCAGCCGTCGCCGTCGCCCTCGTGCCGCCCTCGTCCACGCGACGTCGCTTTTCTTGCAGGTGGCACATCTTCGTCCACCTCGAACTCCTGCTCGTCCTTCGATCCGGGCTCAGCCTCTATCCATCGGCCTCTTCGTCCTTTTCGTGACGGCGCCTCCCCTCACCTTCGACGACGCTCGCTGTTCCGACTGGCATTGTGCTCGTCGTGGCCCATCGGTCACCGATCTCCAGCCTCGGTAGTCAGCCCTAGCCGTACGATCATCGCCCGCCGCCCTATTTGGCTTCTTCGGTTCGTCGGCACCTCCTCCCGTGCCGATCCATTCGTCTCGTCGACCCCTCGAGTTCTCCGCGCTTCTTCCCGGTCAGCCTCGCGCCAAGCCGCTCTGCATCCGACGTCGGCACGACTGTCGTCGCCTCACTACTCTTCAGCGAGCCGGGTCAGCTCAAGACGCTCGGGCTCCAGCACGACGTGTCCCGCTTGATTGCTAGCAAGCAACGCAGGAGACCTTCACGCAGCTCCACAAACATACTTTCTTGATCCTACCTGTGCGTCAACTCCCCAAAGAAGTCCTAACGCCAGGGCGGCGCGGACCAGCGACCTGGCACCCGAGATCGCTGCTCGATCCGCTTTCCTGGCGATAGATCCGGTACGGACTAGGTTGACCGAACACAGGGGCTGACAAGGAACCCGCTCCTCGCCGATTCCCTTCCCGTCCCTTCCCCTTAAACCAGCGGCTTCTGTGACAAGATGGCTGACAATCAAACACCCGAAGTCGACCTCGACAACGTGATCGACCGGCTCCTCGAAGGTCAGTTGGTGCCGACGTAGTTCACGGCGCCTTTTCAGTGCCTTTCAATCGCCTTGCCGCTGACGTCCTCGAGCTTTTGATCCTCTTGCTCCATGATGCTGTGCCCTTCTTGCTCGTCAATCCATGGACCCACTTCCCTTTCACCCACTCTCTTCCTTTCGCCCTTACAGTCCGCGGATCGCGGCCGGGCAAGCCGGTGCACCTGGAAGAGTACGAGATCAAGTACCTCTGCCTCAAGGCGCGAGACATCTTCATCAACCAGCCTATCCTGCTAGAGCTCGAGGCTCCGATCAAGATCTGCGGTGAGTCTTGCTGCATTGTGGCAGCCATCCGATCAGCACGGACCTGTCACTATGGACTACGTTTCTGACATCGTTCCTCGGCGACCCATCATATCTCCCCTACCTGCTCTTGTCCGGCCGGCCTAAACAGGTGACATCCACGGCCAGTATTACGATCTCTTGCGACTCTTTGAGTACGGCGGCTTCCCGCCCGAGGCCAACTACCTCTTCCTCGGCGACTACGTCGACCGAGGCAAACAGTCGCTCGAGACCATCTGCCTGCTCCTAGCGTACAAGATCAAGTACCCGGAGAACTTCTTCATCCTTCGCGGCAACCACGAGTGCGCGTCCATCAACCGAATCTATGGCTTCTATGACGAGTGTGAGTACAGTCGGGGAAAGGAGCCAGCAGATTCCGCTCAAGTATCGCGGCCGTCGCGGCCAGGGTCGGGACGACAGTGGCTGATGACCGTGACCGCCGATCTTATGCGATCTCCGCACATACTTCCCTCGCTCTGCTCACAAACCCTCTTGTCGGATCGACAGGCAAGCGGAGGTTCAACATCAAGCTCTGGAAGACGTTTACCGACTGCTTCAACTGCCTTCCGATCGCCGCCATCATCGACGAGAAGATCTTCACCATGCACGGCGGGCTCTCGCCGGATCTGCAGAGCATGGAGCAGATCCGCAGGGTTATGCGACCCACCGACGTTCCCGACACGGGCCTCCTCTGCGACCTGCTCTGGTCGGATCCCGACAAGGACATCTCGGGCTGGTCGGAGAACGATCGCGGCGTCTCGTTCACCTTTGGGCCCGACGTTGTTTCCCGCTTCCTCCAGAAGCACGACATGGACCTCATTTGCCGAGCGCACCAGGTGGTCGAGGATGGCTACGAGTTCTTCGCCAAGCGCCAGCTCGTCACCCTGTTTTCTGCACCAAATTACTGCGGAGAGTTCGACAATGCCGGAGCGATGATGAGCGTCGACGAGACGCTGCTCTGCTCTTTCCAGATCCTCAAACCAGCAGAGAAGAAGCAGAAGTACGCCTACGGTGGCATCAACATGGGCCGACCCGTCACCCCTCCGCGCAAGCAGAAGAAGAAGGGCGACAGCAAGTAAGCAGCCTTCGGCGCGGGCCGAGCGCGGCGACGCGCAGGTACACGGAGGAGTACGATGGGCGGGCGCGACCGACCATGGAAGGACAGACGACAGGCACGAGCGGTACTCGCAGGGATTACGCACGAGCTCCCCAGAGTTTTCTGCTGCGAGGAGCCCCTTCCCGGCGGACACCGCGGCCACGCCGAGATGGCTGTGACCGGGCCACTGTACATAGGGCCCCCATTGGGCCTATCGCGAGCATCCGCAAAGCACGGCGTGGGAATAGCACCACGCCAAAGGATGGGCTCACCAAGCCCAACCTCGGATCGACGACAACCTTTGTTCGTTCCACGTTGGATGTCGCACGGAGGGCGACGCGCGTCTTGGCAGAGCAGCCACAAGCGGCCACGGCCGGCCCTTGTTGTGACGGCGATCAGGACGGCGGGCAGGACGCGGCGCGGTGCCACGACCTCGACGCACCCTGGACAGCTTCTTTTGGAAGTCCGCAATGCCTCGTTGCGAATCCGCCAGCCAGGGTGACGCTGAGCGTGCGCGCGCGGCCCCTGCATCCGTTGTGCGCCGTCAGCGTGGGCGTAGAGCGAGGCAAGCCGACAGCCTGGGCGCAAACGTGTCGTTGGGATGGCTCCCGACAGCCCGCCGACACCTCCCGCCCCGTCGCCGTTGGCCTGTTGGGCGCCAGTCGGCCTTGCACTGTTGCCACGCTTGGCGATTCCTCTAGATCGGACCAGTCTGGCGCCCGTGAGGCGAAAGCCGTCGATCGTCGCGGCCTCAGGCCTTTATGGCGACTCCCTTATCCAGCTTTCGCCGCAGGCGCATGCCTGCCTGGTGAATTTGCCACCTCTTCGTCGATTTGGACGAGCGATGAAGCTCTTGGTTGCACCAAGCACCCATGCATCCACCCTCTCACGTCGTCGACGCTCGCTGTTGGGACCCCTGCCGCTTACACCTCGCATCCCTCCGCGGCTCTTGCGGCCTGGCCCTCTCCACCTACTACTAGCTGCAACCGTGTCATCCCGCCCCTTGGCCCTTCTCTCCTCCAGTCTCCCCGATCTTTGTTACCGTCTCCTGTCGGTGTAGGCTGCCGCCCGCGTGTCACCCTTTGCCCTCCTCCCTTTGATCCCTCTTGTCCATCGACATGGCCTTCGCCCCTCTTCCGCTGTCGCTCCCAACCCCCCGTTCCCACATTTTGCGTCTGCCAGAATCCAAGTCAGTCCCGCTTCCAGTCTGCAGGCGCGCGAGGCAATGTGTTGGCGTTCAGGTGGCCGGCATCACAGGGCTCGGGGCCAGGCAAGCCACACAATGGCAGGCTACTGGGCAGAGCCCAAGTTGCGGGTTCGGAGTCACGTGAGCATTGATAGTGTAGGGGCATCATGAGTCGTTGCCACTCATCGTTGGGTCTTCCGACGATTAACCGATTCGACTCGACCGGGGTTCGAGTCCCCGTCAATGCATTGTTTTTGCGGCACTTTTGCCCTCGCCTTGCCTTGCCTGGCGTAGGGTCTGGGCTTGGGACTGAGATGATGAGACGATACGGCCGCACGTTCTGCTAACTAGGTCCGGCTTGGCAGGGATGTGTGGAGGGTTGGCTGGCTGGCTCCGGCGGCAGAATGCAGCGCGCGACGCTTCCAAAAAGAGGAAGCGAGGCCGACTTGGTTGCCGCGCCAACGCGGGCCCAACGTCGTCATCCTGCCTCGCTCCCTCACCGCCATCGGACACGCACTCCTCTCTTTGCCTCCTCCCACCAGACGCAGCCGCAGCCGCAGCCGCAGCCGCAGCCGCAGCCACAACCACAACCACAACCACAACCACAACCAAAACCACAACCACAGCCTTGGCTTGCATTGCCTTCGCTGCCGCCCGTCTCAGACTCTGACGCTCAAACCATAGACGTCCACGACCATCCCTATCCCCGCACTCTTATCTGCTATCGCCCTCGTCGCCCGCCCTCGTGCTGCCGGCTCCCCCCGCATCATTGCCCTCTCCCAGTCTCGCACCACGGCTGCGCCACCTGTCGGATCAACGACGATAGAAAGGCAACCTCGACTCGACGACACCGGATACGCCGCTCAGGCGTCCCTTGCACGCAGACATGCACCACCATGCCCTGATCGAGCCTACCGCCAGCTACGTCGCCCACGGCGCTTCGGGCGCCCCCATCTGGAGCCTCATCAAGGTCACGGCATCCTCCATCATCGAGGTCGTCATCCTTAGCTTCGTCGGCTACGTCCTCGCCCGCAGAGGCATCATCGACAAAAAGACTCAGACGGTGAGATCCGTGGCAGGCTGCTCCTGGCCGCTCTCCCCGATTGCTTGTCACTCACGATTCAACCTTGGCCACGTCCTTTGGGCTCCCTTGCTCGTATCGCCCCAACTTGGCCCGCTTTGATCAACAGAAAATCAACAAGGTGAGCAGGTCGAGGACGCTTTCTCGATAGTCGCAACTGCTCGGGCTGACCCTTCCATGACCCTGGACCGCCTGCCACTTACGCTTGTGAGCGCGCAGCTCAACGTCTCTTTCTTCACGCCAGCGCTGCTCTTCTCCAAAGTAGCCTTCACGCTCAACCCGGCGCGGCTGGCCGAGCTCATCATCGTGCCGCTGGGCTGGGTCATTGTCACGGCCGTCTCCACCTTCAGCGCCCTTCTTCTGTCCTGGATCGCCGGCCTCTCGCCGGCCCACCGCAACTTCGCCGTCGCGTGCGCCATTTCACCCAACTCAAACTCGCTCCCGGTCGCCCTGATGCAGTCGCTCGTCATCACGGTGCCCCAGCTTCACTGGGACGAGGAAGGCGAGCCAGAGGACACCGTCGACGGCATGCTCGGCCGAGCACTCACCTACCTTGTCCTCTTTAGCACGCTCGGCATGTTTTTGAGGTGGAGCATCGGTGCCAAGCTCCTCAGCACCGTCGAGTCCAGCGGAGACGCCGCTGCCGCCGAAGAGGAGCGCCGACGCTCGGACCCCAACGCGTACCGTGACGAGCCCCAGCGGGCCGATGGCCAGCTGGTCGATTACGGTCAGGATGATCAGGCAGGACCGACGGCAGAGTCCGCCCGGACCACGCCGCACATCACTCTGCGTCGACCCACGGGAGAGGTTCGTCCGCAGAGGAAGCGCACCGGGCCTCCCGCCTGGGCTCGCAGCTTCCCAAACTCGCCCAGTCAGATGGCCAGCGAGGGCGACCAAGAGGTCGAGGACATCGACTGCGACGACGAGACGATTGCAGCCGAGGGTCCCATCACGCTAAACAACGGTCGCAGCCAGCGATCCTGTTGGACACGATTCAGGACCGGTACCGGCCGCGCTTTCCGCAGGTTTGTCGTCCACCCGTTCAAGGTGATTGGCAGCTTCATGACTGCACCGCTTTATGCGGCCATCATCAGTCTCGTCGTCGCCCTGATTGGACCCTTGCAGAAGTTCATCGACTCCCTCGAGCCGGTCGTCGGTGCGCTCGAGACTGCCGGTGCTTGCAGCATCCCGCTGACGATGGTGGTGCTCGGAGCCTACTTCCACGCCGACGCCTCGGCCGTCGCCGAGAGCAAGGGAAGCGTCTCCACGTCTGCACCGCCCGTGGCGCCGGCCGGTGATGGCCCCGCCGACGCTCAAGGTCCCGAGCCCGACAAGGACGGCTTTGCCCCTCACAGACCCTCCGACAGCAACGGCTCCAGCTCCCGAACCGTGTCGCAGCTCATCGATGACAGCAGCGACGACTTCTCGCACGACCCCTGGCGCAGGGGGTCGGTGGATGGATCCTCCTCGAGTGCAGACTCGACGCTGGTGCAAAAGGATCCCGCCCGGCGCAAGGGCATCTCGAGCTGGATCACCAAGAACCCTTGGAACAGCGGCAGCAGCAGCGCCTCGAGCTCCGGTGCCGGCGACCTCGAGAACGGCCGCATGGTCGATGAGCCGAGGTCGATGTCGTCCAACGAACCAGAGGCGCCCAGTTACGCCGATGTCGCGAGCCGCAACGCCGACCTCAACGCGCGCAACGGCGCTGGCCGGCGCGCCGGCGCGGCGAGCAAGAAGGAAAGCAAGGAGAAGCAGCAGGCCAAGATGGAGAATCGCACCGTTGCCGTCTCGATCGCCTCGAGGATGATCCTGACACCCCTCATCCTGCTGCCCATCGCAGCGTGGTACGCCATCGCAACGAGGTACAATGTGTGAGCTCCCACGGCACACGATGCACACCTGCCTTTCGTGTTCTCGAGCCGAGTCGACTGATCCATTCATCTCGCTTGTATCTGTTCCTCATCGCGATCCTCAACAGCATGGACGACCCGGTCTTCATCACCTGCGCATGCCTCATCATTGGCAGCCCGCCTGCGCTGACCCTGGCGCAGATCACCAGCCAGAGCGCCAACGGCAACAGCGGCTTCGAGCGCCTCATCAGCCGGACCATCTGTAAGTTCGATCATGGGCCGTTATCCTACGCCCATCCGCTGCGGCTTTCAGATCAAACGGGCTGAACCGATCTTCACTTGAACCCCCGTTCGTCTGTTGGAACTCGACAGTCGTCAGCTACGCTGTCCTGGCGGCGCCCACCACCATCGCCCTCGTCCTCACAGCGCTCCTGTACGTCGACCGGTCATTTGCCGCGTGCTATCGCTCCGACCCTGCGCGAGGCTGACCTCATCTGCCCCTCTCTGCTGGCCTCCATCCATCGGCCTTCACAGCATCGCCGAAAACGACCATTAGGTCCTTCTCAACCTGCTCTTTGTCCCTGCTCGTTCTACGCTGGACGAGTGCGTATGTCCTGAAGAAAAGCCGCCGTTCTCCAAACCTATCCGCGAGAAAGGAGTCCTCGACCCGCAACACGAGGCTGCTCTGTAGATGCATTCGACGCAGCTCAATGGAAGACGGAGAACGAGGTCATGAGTGGGATGCAAGGACGAGGTTGGGTGATAGCAGAACGACGATGGGACTGTGCAGTGCGAACAAGAGGCCAAAGGGCCGACGCCTCGGAGGGAGCGCGATCGTGCCTAGAGCTTGAGGCCCTGGCGGTACTCTACGAAGGCCATCCAGTTTTCGGCCGCCTCCTCGGCAATGGCCCGGAGAGAGAGGTGCCTGCGCCTATCAATGCACTTGACCTGTTTGTGTAGGACAATGGAGGGCAACGAGAACGTCAGTGAGCTAGAAGCGGACCGAGTCGAGATCGGATCGGCGATGCCAGGGCCCCGGCACTCACGACAGCGCGACACTTGAAGACGGTGGCCCGGCAGCGCTTGAGCATGTCTCCGCGTCGGAAGTTGACGTCGTAGTGCGAGTTTTCGTCGGCAAACGTGTCGACGAGCCCGTTGATGGCGGCCACGACGCTCTCGGCGCTGGCCGCGCTGCCCGCTGCCGTGGGTCGATCCGGGACAGCCTCGAGGATCGAGAGGAGGAAGAAAGCAATCTTCTCATTGAGCGGCAGCGAGACGTTGGCTGCGCGTGCGATGGTGGCGAGCAGGGAAATGGCCTTGACCTTCATGTTGTCCGACGATGCGGTGTGGTACGATGCCATCAGCGCCGAGATGAGCTCGGCCGACTCCGCACCCGGCGAAGAGGGTAGGACGACGCTTCCGGCGGTCCACGAGAGCGGCACGGTGCCCTCCAAGCAGCGGGCGATGGACCACATACTGCCGATGCAGGTCTCGACGATCTGTAGGCCGTCCTGCTTTTCCGTGTTGCCCGTCGACGAGGCGGCGACCGACGACGGCAGAGGTTCGACGATGCTGTGGGTGGCCGAAAGGGCGGGCGTGGCGTTGGCCACGGCCGGAACGCTGGCGCAACCGCGCGCCACCTCATAGAGGGCCTGGAAGGTGGTCGTCAGGCGCGAACCGGCGCCGGCATCGCCGGAGAGCCAGGAGCGGAAGGCGGCGAGTCGACGTGCCTCCTTAAGACCCGAAACGGGCTGAGAGGGCGGTGGAGCCGCGAAGGTGGCAAGCCGCAGCAGAGCATTGTTGAGCACCGACAGAGAGCGCAGGTGGATGGCGCGAAGAAGCGTCGGGGCCTGCTTCTGCGCCGACGATGCGCCCGAAGAGGCCGAGGTCGAAGAGACCAGGGACGGGAAGCTCGACTCGAATGGCCTCGCAAGAGGCAGCAAGACGTCGGCCAGCGCCGGGACCCCGTTCGTGGGGAGGACGAGATGGCAGAGGGTCGGCGCGATGCTTTCGAATCGGATTCCGCCACCCCGCTTGACCGCCTCGGCAAAAGTATCCTCGTCGGCCATCTTGTCGTCGTCATCGTCGTCGTCGTCGCCTTCGCCGTCATCCGCAGCTGTCTCACCGGCAAGCGCGTTGTCCGTGTCGCCGTCGGCAATGTCGACGTCAACGTCCTCGTCCATCTCCTCGTCGCTGGCCGCTTCTGCATCGAGGTCTTCCTGCCACTCGTCGTCGGCCTCTCCGCCCTTGGCAAGGTCGAAACCGCTTGCCATCTCGGCGAGGATCTCGATGGCGAGACTGAGGGTCTGTGCCTTTTCCTCTGCCCGTACCTGCAGCTTCGCTTGCGCACCGTCATTGTTCCCGGCGTCGCTCTGTGCAGGCTCGACGACGCCCTGCCCCTCGAGATCGCGGGCAAGGGCTGTGCAGTCGACTGCGGCCAAAAGCTGGAGGAGCGCCGGTAGGATGTGCGCTTCTTCGTACCTCTTGAGCGACAGGGCAGCCTCGCCGTCCTTGCGTCCGGGCACGAAGACGTTGGAAGAGGTGAAGGCGGCCTGCTTCTTCTTCCGAGCGCCCGCAAAGGCGCCGCCGGACGCCTTTGTCTTGTCGACAGCGGCCGCCACGTTGCGCAGCGCGCCAGAGGCAAGGACGCCGAGCATCGTGGTCTGGGACAGCACGTAGCGCTTGAGCTTGTCAAGGCTGGTGTGATCGGTCTGAACGCAAGCTTCGAGTAGTACGATGGCCCGGTCGATCTGGACCAAGCGCTTTGTGGCGCCCTCGGCCTGCTGTTCGAGCGATTCGACAACAGGGAGCACGACCGGCTTGAGGGGCTTGGCGCCCTTCTTCTTGGCGCCGTCGCTTTTGACAGAGCTGGATGGTCGGCCAAGGAGGCCGTCGACGAAGTCAGCCTCGCCTCCGTCGGTGAGACCACAGAGTGCATTTGCCGAAGCCAGCGCCAGATCGAGGATCAGCGAGAGCTCCTCGTTCTTCAGCGAAGCGATTGGGTCGCTACTGCCGCTGGGTCGTGCACCGTCTGGCCCCGCAACGCTGAGCACGGAGGCAGCCCGGCAGCCGAGGGCGATGGACCCGCAGAGCCAGGCGGACAAGCCCTGGCCGGGAATCTCGGAGGCGGCGGCAGCTCCCACCAAATCTTCGTCCAGCCACTTCCACGTCACGAGTTTGGCGAACGGGTTGCCGCCGCACTCGCAGAGGCACCAGGTGATGGTGGCCAAATTCTCCGACATCTCCAATAGGCCTTTTCTCGTCTCGGCATCCAATGCGATGAAGGGCTCCGAGTTGCCCGTGCTGGACGATGCCGAGTTCACGTTGGTGCTGGCGGAAGCCGCGATGGCGTCGTCGCTTGCACCAAGGACTTTTTCGTCTTCCGCCGAGAGCGTCTGCCCCGCCACCTGTTCCAGGGACTTGCCCATGGCGGCAGCGATCCGGGTGGCGTGACGCTTCTCCTTCTTGTTCATCTTGTCGATCGGCTTGGCGAGCAGCGCCCGCTTCTTTTCCAACTCTTCGGCCGCTGAAGGTGCGCCGTCGACAAACATTTCGTTTGATCCCTGTTCCGAGCTCTTGGAAGGGGATGCGGAGAGTCCATCGACATCGAACCCGAGGGCGTTGGCTGCCCACCTCATGGCGCCCAGGACGGCGGCAACGCCACCCTTATTGGCCACCTCGCCGCGCACGTCGAAGCCCGCATCGACGCAGAGATTGCGGAGGGCCCCGCTGGCCTCTCGCCTGACCTCGACATTGGTGTCCGACTGGAGGGCGTGAATGAGGCGAGCCACGATGTCCTTTGAAAGCAGCAGCTTGCGGTTCTGCTTGACCTCGGCCAGCGTGTGGCCCGACGAGGGGGAGAGGAGGAGGCTGACAGAGGCGAGAGACCAGATCTTGTCGCCCGAGTTGACGCTGGCCTGCTGTTCCTTTGGTGCGCTCGGAAGAGGTAGATTCTGCAGCAGGGGCACGATCTGCTCTGCTGGCGAAGCCGAGGCGCCGTTGCCCGCGGCCTTGCGCGTCTGCTCTTTGATGGCTTGCAGCGCCGCCGAGGTGGCCTGCACCGTAGCGGCTGACGAGGGCTGACTGCCCTTTTTGGATCCGAGTGGATTGTGGCGCGCCGTTTTGCGCTGGTGTCGCTGCGGATCGAAGCCGGACTTTGGCATCTTGCTTGCCCTCGGAGGTCCGTCGCCTGTCTTAGAGGGAGTGCCCGGTAGGTCGTTGGTGTGCACCTGGAAGCCGAGGCAAGGTGAAGACGGGGTGGGTGCTGTGCGAGCAAGCGGGGTGGTCAGAGGCCGAGTGAAGGAAGGTGTCGGGAGAAAGGTGGCAGAGAAGAAATTGGACAGGTCCTTCCGACACGGGCCTTGGGCGATTTTTTTTTCTCGCCCCGGCGAGCTTCGCAGCACAAACGGAACTCGGGTCTGTCCGAGGAGACATTCACTCCACATGGTGGCAGGGACACGCCTCGTGTCAAGCGATGAGGATGCAACAAATTCCAACATGTACATGCTCGGCATTGATAGTGTAGGGGTATCATGAGTCGTTGCCACTCATCGTCCGGACTTCCGACGATCAACCGATTCGACTCGACCGGGGTTCGAGTCCCCGTCAATGCATTTTTGCCTTCTTCAAACTTTTTTGGCCTATTCAACGTTTTCTCGCAGGCAGGCTGGGACGTCGTCGAACACAGCTCTTCAACGCGCCTCTTTTTGGCACGAATGGGTGAGCCGGCCGTCACGGTGCCTGTGAGGGTGCAGGAGACAGCCGCTGCCGGGCGACCGGAACTATGCGGGCGTTGCAAGCGACCCACAAGCCTGGGGAGGGTGTAATGCGCCGAGGCGGGGCCAGGGTGCGTCACTCCGCCTTTTCCATGGCCGGCGACGTGTCGGCCCGCGCGTGTGTGCGGGGTTACGGGTTTTGCCTGACGGGTGCGCGATCTGGATCCGCTGTCCCCGCTTTTCGCCGCCAACAACAGGCAGGCAGGCGGTCTCGACTGTCGACCATGGAAAGGCCGGGATGGGCAGTCAGGTCACACATCTCGATCTCTCTTCTCAGGCGAGGGGGTTGGGTGGGCAGGGCAGGCGCCACCGACCGGTGGGAGGGCGACACCTCGTCGCAGGCAGGCCGTCTTGAGTCGTCGGTAGGTATCGGCGTGTTTGTTTGTCTCTTCTTTCTGACTGTGATGTGTGTTCTGCCGTCGCCCGCCTTTGACCGGCGCTCTACCGCTGCAAAGGCTGCGGCACCACGCATGTGCCTACAGGTGCTGTGCAGGAGGGGGTAGATGCTGGCGCGGCGGCCCCGAAAAGCGGCAAGGTCCCGCCGCCACCGCTCTTGGGTCCTGGCTGCGGTTATCCCCAAGGGCTGGGGCCGCCATTGGAACGCTCACGCCATCTGGACGGCCCGATCGGGAGCACCTCGCCTTGGCTTTGTCGTGGCAGCAAGTGAGCATTGCGGGCCAACAGAAAGCAGGAGAGTGCGTGCGCACCGACGACCTGGGCAGGCCAGCAGAGATGGTGCCGACGCCATGCGTCGATCGGATCTCGGCATCAGTCGCTTCGAGGTCGAAGGCAGGCAGATTCAGGCCTCCGACTGGGCGAAGCGTGGCCGGCACGATCGAGTGGGATCTAAGGTCCACAGCATCCGTATACAGTACGACCATCCACACACGCTGGAAGCCTTCAGACAGGGCGAGAAGGTCCAACGCACGCAGGAAGAGCAACCAGAACGAGGGCCAGACCATAATGTGGGTTTTGCGCCGGGAGCGGGGGGATCGGATGAGCGGGTTCCCTCGAGCCACCCCCGCACTCGGAAGACCGACCGAGACGGCTCGCCTCGGCATGATTTGACGGCCACCAGACCAAGGGCAAAAGGGCGCGAGAGACGCCTGTCTGCGCAGCGGCGGCTACTTATGATGTCCACGTACCGCAAGCTAAGGCAGGCTGGCTCTGGCACTTCCCCGGTACTTACCCCGGGCGTGGGCCGAATGGAGCAAAGCGGATTTGTGAGCGAGGCGGGGCGGTCTGACTGCTGGTGCCAAGGCGTCTGCCCGGCGCGTTCCACGTCTCTGGATCCGCGCTGCCCTGCCAAGATGCGAGACGATGTCGGGCGCTGCTTGCTTGCTGCTTGTCGCGGTGCCCAGCAGGCACCTACTCTGTACGGGTGTGTGCATGCGTATGGCTCGTCATGAAGGCGAGCCAGCTGAGCGCAAAGGAGGCTAAGCTCGTCGTCGATCCCGTGCGGTGCAGAGGAAGGCAGGTCGTGACGAGGATCAGACGACGTCGGGCGCCTTGCTGTACCTCGGGCAGCTAGGTGTATGTCCAGCCGACGGGCAGGTGACGACGGCCAAGCATCGCTTGCAAGAGACCGCCCGCACGTCTCTCCTCTCAATCTGATGGCAGGCGGCGGGGCGAGCCGTCTGTACGAGAGACGAAGCCAAGAGACACGGAGGAGAAGGCGGCTGAAGCGGGCGCTGGTGAGCGAAAAGGGCAGCCAGAGAGGAGGAGGCCAGGCTAGGCCAGGCCAGAGTGGTGGCTGTCTCGGAGCGTCGCCCCACTGAATGACGAGAGGTGGAGGCACCAAGCAAGCACGGCCAAGCCGGTCTGCGACAGCGAGCATGCAGGCGGTGGCGAGCAGGCAGGCAGACAGCCAGCCAGCCCGCCAAGCGATGAGACGGGCTGGGATGCCCGCCTGCCCGCCCTGGCCAAGCCCGAGCCAAGCGAGGGTGGAGAAAGACAGCCAGCGCGCACAGCGACGGCAGCGGCCGGTGACCCAAAAAAGATGGACGGACGCAGCGCGGCCACAGGCGGGGCCAACCAAGGCAGCGCAGCAAGCAGCCTGCCTGCCTGGCTTTGGCCACGGCGGAGCGCACCGACACACGAGCCATCCAGACGGCATCCCCCCGCGCTCTTTCTCTCTCTCGCCCGTTCGCCCTGTGGCTGCCCGCCTCTCTGCGCCTGCCTGGCTCTCATCTGTGCCTGTCTGCCGTTGGCCCCCGACCGCCCCCCGCCTGGCCGCATCGTGCGTCTTCGTCGTCGTCGCCGCTCCAGGCCAGGCTAGGCTACGAGGCTTCGATCCGGCCAAAGCCGTCGCCGAGCGTCTGGTCGCATGACGAGGCGCCGTCCTATATAAACCTGCTTGCCCGTTCGCGTTCGTGCACGCCCCTGCGCTCCTCACCCGCTTCACCCCGTCATACCTCAGCCAAAGGCACCAATCGACCTCTTTCCCAACCCTCTGCTCGCGACAGACAGAGCTAGATCAAAGACCCGAGCAGCCCCTCGACGCTGCTCCTCCCCGCATCTCTACCTTTATCCACGCCCACAACCTCATCCGTCACAATGGCCGAAGCCGACGTTCCCGAGGTCCCCATTTACGACATCCCCGCCCGTCTCCAGGGAAAGGGCACCGGCAACCACGTCAGGCACCTCCCCCACGTCACCCCAGAGTCCTACGCCAAGGACCACAAGCAGTCGATCGAGGACGCCGACGCCTTCTTTGCAAAGGTGAGTGCTGCCTTGCTGTCGCTCCGGTCGCTCATTCGGCGCATGCGACGGCTGCACAAGTCTCGAGGCATGGGCCATGGTCTTGCAGTGGCGAGAAGCGTCGTAGCTCAGCTGCACGGTACTAGGGCCTGCCGACGCATGGCATGTATGCACGAGCCGGTTCTGCTCATCCAGCCAGCCGCTCGGCAGCTAGGTGGACGAGCCCTGAAGTCACTACCGGAGGAGCTCCAGCGCGGAAGCGCCGAGGGCAAGCTGCGGATACGCTGGTCCGATGATCGGAGGCGTCGCAAAAGGACGCCACGCTCGCTACCTGGATTGGACGGGCAAGGCTGACCTCGTCGTACATTGCAAACCCCCTTTCTCCAACCACCATCCCAGGCGGCGCGAGAGGTCATTGACTGGGACGTTCCCTTCAAGACTGTCCGCAGCGGTGGCTTTGTCGATGGCGATGTCGCCTGGTTCACCGAGGGACAGCTCAACGCCACCTACAACTGCGTCGACCGATGGGCCACCAAGTTCCCCGACCGCGTAAGTGTCGCAGGCGGCCCCAGTGTTCTTTCTGGAACCCGCAGCTCGAAGAGAGGCCGACGACACCTTGGAAGGACCATCCCGCTGACCTGCCCTTGCGCTCACGCCTGCGAACCGTGCCACTGTAGGTCGCCATCATCTACGAAGCCGATGAGCCCGACCAGCACCAGGAGATTACCTACAGCGAGCTGCAGCGCCGCGTGTCGCAGGCCGCCAACATGCTCAAGAAGCTCGGCGTCAAGAAGGGCGACACCGTCATCGTCTACCTGCCCATGATTCCTGAGGCGGCCGTCGCCCTGCTGGCGTGCGCCCGCATCGGAGCGGTCCACTCGGTCGTCTTTGCCGGTTTCAGCGCCGACTCGCTGCGCGACCGCACCCTCGACTGCGAGGCGCGCGTCGTCATCACCACCGACGAGGGCCGACGTGGCGGCCGCACCATTGCCACCAAGAGCATCGTCGACGCCGCCCTCAAGGAGTGCCCCAAGGTCGAGCACGTCGTCGTCGTCAAGCGGACCGGCAACGAGGTCGGCTGGACCGAGGGCCGCGACATTTGGTGGCACGAGGCCGCCAAGAAGGAGCGCGCCTACTGCCCTCCCGTCTCGATGAACTCCGAGGACCCGCTCTTCATCCTCTATACGTCGGGCTCCACTGGCAAGCCCAAGGGTGTCGTCCACACCACGGCCGGCTACCTGCTGGGCACGGCGCTGACGACCAAGCACGTCTTTGACGTCCACGCCGACAAGGGCGACAAGTACGCCTGCATGGCCGACATTGGCTGGATCACGGGCCACTCGTACATTGTCTACGGCCCGCTGATGAATGGCGTCACGACGCTCATCTTTGAGTCGACGCCCGTCTACCCGTCGCCCTCGCGCTACTGGGAGATGGTCGACAAGCACAAGCTGACGCAGTTCTACACGGCGCCCACCTCGATCCGCCTGCTGCGCCGCCTGGGCGAGGAGCACGTCCAGAAGCACGACCTCTCGTCGCTGCGCGTCATTGGCTCGGTCGGCGAGCCCATCAACCCGGAGGCGTGGAACTGGTACAACGAGAACGTCGGCCGCAAGGAGTGCGCCATCGTCGACACCTACTGGATGACCGAGGGCGGCTCGATCATGATCACGCCCCTGCCCGGTGCCACCAAGACCAAGCCCGGTTCGGCGACGATGCCCTTCTGGGGCATCCACCCCGTCATCCTCGACCCGCAGAGCGGCGAGGAGCTCCAGGGCAACAACGTCGAGGGCGTGCTGGCCATCAAGAACCCCTGGCCGTCGGTCGCCAGGACCATCTACGGCGACCACGAGCGCTTCCTCGAGACGTACATGCGCGCGTACAAGGGCTACTTCTTCACCGGCGACGGCGCCGCGCGCGACAAGGACGGCTACATCTGGATCAAGGGCCGTGTCGACGACGTCATCAACGTTTCGGGCCACCGCCTCTCGACGGCCGAGATTGAGTCGGCGCTGATCCAGCACCCGGGCGTCGCCGAGACGGCCGTCGTGGGTATCGCCGACGAGATGACGGGCCAGACGATCGCCGCCTACGTGACGCTCAAGCCCGAGTTCAGCTACGACAGCGAAGAGGCGCTCGTCAAGGAGCTCGTCATCCAGGTGCGAAGGCACATTGGGCCGTTTGCGGCGCCCAAGAAGGTCATTGTGGTCAACGACCTGCCCAAGACGCGCTCGGGCAAGATTATGCGGAGGCTGCTGCGCAAGTGCGCATCGCACGAGACCGACAGCCTCGGCGACCTGTCGTCGCTCGCCGACCCCTCGATCATCGACCACATCAAGGAGAAGACCGAGGCGTTTGACGCAAAGAAGTAGACGAGGGAGCGCTGCCGTCCCCCCGCCGCTCTGTTTATTTGTTTGCTAGATCCCAGTTTCAGGACCCCGGTCGCCGGCCTAGTTTGATATTGCCCCGCGCCCTTGGTGTTTCCAGCTGTGTCGGAAGCGTTTCCCCCGACTCCTGTTCTAGGACGTGCATCGAGAGAAATACCCAGCCACGTTTGGTTCGTACGGTGGAGCCAAGCTGGTGGGGGGGAGCGAGTGAGAGAGGGTTGGTTAGAGGCCGCCGCGCCAGGGACGTGATGCGTGCGTGCCAGCGGGTCGGGCGGGCACAGCGCCAGGTGGTTGGACCCTGCGCTACTTCGCTTGCTCTCTGGCCGCTGCCGTCATTGTGCGCGCGCACGGGGTCCTCCCCTCTCGGTGGCCTGTCGTCGGTGCCATCCCCGCCGCCACCGCCGCAGCCACCGCCATCGTCGCCACCATCACTCCCGGCATTCATCATCCGAGTCCCTTCCCCCCCCCTCCTTTGCCCAGTGACAGGCCCAGCATAACGATGCAGACCAAAACATATGCCGTGGCGCTGGCAGTGCTGCTGCTGGCCACGGTGCTCGAGGCGTGGTCCATCTGGACGCCCACCTGGATCCGAGCATCGACGCCCGCCTCGTCGCCCATCCACTATTCCGCCAGGTACGGCCTGACGCAGCGCTGCGAGAGGGCCTACCTCGACCTACCCTCGTCGTCCGGCCTCTCCGGGTCGCATGCGCAGGCACACGATCAAGGCTGGAAGTGCCGCTCGTTTCCGCTGAGCGATCGCGACTGCAGCCAAGACAGGTAGGCATGCCTTGCCCGGCTCTCGCCGAGCGTCCTCGCGTCCGCTTTGCACCGAGCCAGATGCAGTAGTGCTGACGTCGATCCCACACCCCCTTTCCCCTCGGCACTGCGCTCGACGGCCGCACCAGGAACTTTTGCGCCGCCTGGAGAGGGGCGAGCTATGCGGCCCAGATGTCGTTTGCCTTTCTCGTCGTCTCGCTCCTCGGTCTCCTCCTCATCCTCCTGCTCAACGGCAGGCAGAGGAAGCGAGACGGCTGGAGGATCATCTCGGGCTGCTCGGCCCTCGCCCTTACGCTGCAGGCAATTGCCGTTGGCGTGATCGCGAACCTCTTGTGAGTCCGACCAGGGCGACGTGCAACGGGACACCTCGAGCCGCCATGCTGACCTTGCCCGGACCGCCTGCCTGCCTCTCGATCGCCTGCCCTGCAGTAACAATGACGAGCGCTTCTATGCCGGCTCCAAGCTCGGTGCGTACCTGCCTTGACCCTGTGCAGATCAGATACGAGACTGACATCTTTGTTTTCCCGTCGCCGCCACCGACGCACATCGCAGGCTCAGCCTTCGTGGTGGCCATCTCCTCGCTCTCCCTCGTAACGCTCACCGCAGTCGGACTCGTCGCTGGCGGTATCAGGGTGAGTGCTCCTCGGTCACACGCCGGTTTGTCTGACATCTAGCGTCGCTCACTCTCATCTCACCGTCCCATCCTGCAGAGCGGACAGAGCGACCATGGACCGCAGGGAGACGGGTACCGCTCCATCGACTGATTCCTCGCGTGTCACTAGATCCCTTCTCACCCCCTGTTCCGTTTTCATTGTTGACCGGTTGTGCAATCAGTCAAACTGTGGCCGACGACGCTGTGCGAGCGCAACCCCATTTGAACTCAGGTGGAAGCTCGACTCGTGTCCGGGTCACCCGACCGCCCTCTTTCCCGCTCAGTCCTTCGCTTTCCCATCGCGTCAAGCCCGGTCCAGGTCATCCACGGCCGTGCAAATGATGAGAATGCCATTCCTCACGTTACGAGACTGTCGAAAGACGGAGCAGATAGAGTCAGACCGAGCAGGGGAAGAGGATCTCACGACCGCCACATCACGTCGTCTTGTCCTTGTTGGAACCGCCGCCGCCGCCGCCGCCTTCGGCCTCTTGGATGACGGCCTCGGCGACGTCGACGTAGTCGCGCCACCTCTTTTCGAAGCTCTGCGTCAGCCGCCTGGCCACTCCGAGGCTGCCCTCGACGCGGTCGGCCGTGATGCACACGCTCACCTCGCCGGCGTACGAGCAGATGCCGATGCCGAGCGTGCCCTTGCCCGCCTGCGGGGGCGAGGCGGTCCACTGCACCACCTCCTGCCCTGCCAGCTTGATCCTCCGCCGCGAAGGGCACGGCACGTTGGTCACGACCGCCGTGAACGAGCACAGCACGAATTCGGTCACGAGCCGCGAGATCGGTCGCAACGGGTTCCAGCGCACCGCGGGCAGCAGGCCAAAGGGGACCGGGAAGAGGACGCTGTTGTGCGGTTCGATCAAAGAGGAGAGGGAGCGACGAAGCAGGCCGAGGGAGAGCGCGGTCAGCATCGTACGCGAAAACACAGAATATGAACCGACATCTACAGCCGATCGCGTCCACCGCCGACTCACGGAAGCTGTCCGGTCAGCTGGATGCCGTAGAAGGCCAGCTTGGGCAGCAGCGAGTTCTTGAGCACGTTGAGACCCCTCCTGCTGGCGTGAAGGCGGCGGTGCATGCTCTTGGCGTTCCGCGGCAGGCCCTTGGTGGTGGGCAGGTAGGCAATCGAGCCGGTCGAGAGGTTCTTCATCGACCAGTCGCCGGGCGAGCGGATCGAGATGGGGATCATGATGCCGATCGGGTTGGGCCCAACCTTTCGGGCGAGGCGCTTGACGGCCTCCCAAGCGCCTGGCTCGTCCGGCCGGCGATCGAGCTCGTCGTTGATGACGTCGGCGATGATTGTGCACACGACGTCGTTGACCGTCAGGTGGTGTCCGACAAAGGTCGGGTGCGAGCTGCGCCGCTTGCCCGGCAGCAGGCGGTCGGTCCAGCTGCCCGGCTGGGCGCCCGAAAAGGCCTTGGAGATGCGCTTGACATCCGACAGCGGGAAGGCGGCGGAGCGAGAGAACTCCTTTTCGTACTTGCGCGGGCCGGCGTAGCTGGCCGTGACGTAGCGCTGGCGCCAGAAGGTCATGGCGGCGTAGAAGCCCGTGGTAAAGATCATGGTAAACGAGCCGGCCAGGTCGGTGCCGAGGCCGATCAGGGCGTTGAACCAGTAGAGGGCGAGCATGAGGAGTTGAAGGAGCAGCGTGCCGTGGAAGCGGTCGAGGGGCTTGAGCGACTTGTTGATGCGCGAAGGGCGGGCGACGCCGCGGCGCGCGTCGCTGAGCAGCTGCGCGCCCTCGGACATCATTGACTCAATCTTTGGGCCGAGCGACGTGATAAAGAGCTGGCTCATGACGAAACCCTGGCCGTCGGAGAGCGAGTGGTGGCCGCGCACGACGGCGGCGCAGCCGGCGCCCGTGTCCGGGTCGTTGTAGTTTTCCAGCACGCAGTATTCCCACAGCGGCCGCTCGAAGTCCCAGGGCTGCGCGATGAACTCGGAGACAAAGGCCTCGAGCTCCTTTGGGCCGGCGTCACCGGGCAACTTCTTGACGTGGACGTGGCGGTTGATGTCAAAGTCCGGGTCGTCGACAAAGAGGGCGCCGTGCCAGAGCCTGCCGGCGTCGGCGAGGCGCTGGCGGTACTTTGGAAAGGCGTCGATCTGGTCGAGCGTCTTTTGGCGGATGCGGTCGGCGTCGACGCGGTCCTGGAAGGTGTAGGTGGCTGTGCAGACCGGATTGAAGGCCGAGATGTTGTCGATGAGCAGCCACATGTTGTCGAGGCCGCCGATGGCGTTGGTGCGCGAGAAGACCTCGTCCTGCAGGCGCTGCTGGAGGCGGTGAGCGGCGTCGATGAGCCACTGGGCCACCTTGCCGGCAGGCTGGTCACGCTGCTCCTGCGCAACGCGCTGGAGGGCCTCCTCGGCCCTGTGCGCGGCAAACTGGATGGTCTGGCCGACTGGGGTTACGAAACCCGAGGCAAAGGGGCTAGAGGCATGGCTCTTGTCGGCGGCACCGTCAGCAGAGCCCTGGAGGTGGTGTTGGCCGACGCCGTTAATGGCCTTGGAGAGGTTGGCGACGCGGCTGTAGCGCGAGGTCGACGAGGGGACGGCAGAGGGCGAGGCAGGCGTTGCCGTTGCCTTTGAAGCGCTCCCACCGTTGCTGGTGCCGTTGGGCATGTCTGGCACGTGGTGCTCGAGGGCGGTGCCGTTGGCGGCAGCCTGGGCGTACGACTCGGACATGGTTGGTGCAGGCAGTCTTGGTGGATGGGCCGAGCAAATGGGTACCGTCAGGGCACTTGCGGCTGCTGGCGGCGGGGTATCTTATCTATCCCCTTGTATGGGCGTGGCGTGGCGAGGTGGTGTTGGCCTTTGACGGCGTCGTCGTCGGTGGCGGCGTCGATGGTGGGGGTCTAAGTGGACGAGGCGCTGGCTCGAGGGAAGGGGTGGGCCAACAAGGGGGGAGCCTCGTGGTTTTGGGCCTTGGCGGCAGGCTAGGCTAAGCGCGGATTGGCTCTGGTTGGCGGTGGTGGTCCAGCGAGGAGGCGACGAGGCCGAGTGCGGGGAAGGTGGTACGACGACGGTGGACGTGCGTGGTACATACGTGGTGGCCCACTTGTCGGTCCGACGCCTTTCCGTCTCTGATCTGCCTCTGCCAGCCGTCGGCCGGTGTAGGGTTCCGAGGGTGCCTACGTCGTCATGGCTTGACGTCGGCTATGCAGGCCCAGCAGGCCCAGCAGGCGGGCACCTCGTGAAACCGCAGCGGCGACACGCCCGACCCTCAAGCAAGCGCAACCAAAGGCCAGGTCTGTCCTCGGAACGCGGGATGCGGATGGCGGACGCAGCCGGCCAGGCCCCCCGAAGCGCGCTCGCTCCTCTGTGGTCGCGCGTCGCCCATCATTCCACCATCCACCACTTCCTCGTTCGCCCCGCCATCTCACCGTCCGCTGCCACGTCCCTGTCGCCGCACAACCATCGCGCAGCACCTATCACCGGCACCTCGGTGCTGCGACACGCGCCGCAGACGCCTCTGCTTCCACAGCCATGGTCGCGACCCCAGACAACAGGGCAGACGGCTCTTCTGCCGCCGCCCCGACCTCCGCTCCAGCCGCAGGCGCTTCTGCTGCTGCGCCTGCTGCTGCCTCGTCCACGACACCCGCCGCGGCCGCGTCTGCTCCTGCAAAGGACCCATCCGCCAATGGCACATCGCAGTCGCAGCCGCCAGCTCACAGTTCAGCCGCGTCTTCGTCGTCGGCCCCGGGAGGAGGCGTCGACGCCGTGGGCTCCATCACCAGCTCGGCCGACCAGACGGCCGCCATCCTCACCTACCTCCAGCGCCGTGGCTTCACCCGCGCAGAGGCGGCCTTCAAGGCAGAAGTCGACGCCTTTGTCACCGGCGCAACACCCCAACAGGCCGCCGCGGCCGCAGACGTCCACGGTAGGCCCCCCACTGTCAGCCTCGACGATCTCGCCGCCAAAAACGCCCCCCGAGACCTCAGGGACAAGGAGCACGACAGCAACGGCGACGAAAGGGACGGCGCAGCGAAAAAGGGCGCAAAGGCTGACGCCGCCGCCAGGGACAGGGACAAGGACAAGGACAAGGACAAGGACAATGTCTTTGGCGCCGGCGACGACGCAGACGCCTCGACCGCGGCCGCACAGGCCCTCCTCCTCGACCCTACGGATCGCGCGCGAGGCTTCAACATGCTCCGCTCCTGGTGCCAGGGAAGCCTCGACGTCTACCAGCCCGAGCTCCTCCCCATCCTGCTGCCCCTCTTCGTCCACTCCTTCATCGACCTCGTCTCGATGGGCCACGTCACTGCCGCCTCGGCCTTCTACGCCGCCCACTCCGCCTCGTTCCTTCCCACCCATACCGCGCTCCTCTCCCAGATCCGGTCGCTTGCGCTGCCCTCGCACATCCTCTCCGACCCCCTGGCGCACCGCTTCCGCACCGAGCGCTACGTGCTCAAGATGTCCAACACCGTCTTCAGCCTCCTCCTCGGCTGGCTCACCGACGGCAGCGGCCCCGCCGCGGGCAGCGCATCGTCCACCGCTGGCCTCGACGAGGCCGATGCGCCCGCACGACGGGGCCGCGAGGCGATGCTCAAGATTGTCAACGAGCGCTGCCGCATCCAGGTCCTCGCCGCCCAGCCGTACCAGATCGACGCCTCGGTGCTCGAAGAAGGCACCGGTCTGACGGGCGCAGGGCCCTCGTACTCGTCGCACCCCATCGGCCCGTCTTCGAGGTCGCGCCAACATGCGGCACTCAGCAAGAACGCCGTGACGGAGGCGGATGCGGTGGCCGAGTTCAACGCAAAGGCGGCGGGCCCCCAGCTCAAGCTGCACCCCGCCCTGCCGCTCTCGGAACGCCTGCAGACCGAGGTCGAAAAGGAGCTCAAGGAGGTCGAGCGAAAGGAGCGGGAAGAGGCCAGCCTTCTGCAGCAGCAGCAGCAGCAGCAGCAACAGCACGATCTGCAACAGCACGATCTGCAACAGTCGCAGCAGGCTAGCACGGCCCCCTCTACCCAGACCCAAGAGCCCAACAGCAGCACGCAGGGCGCCGAGAGCACGTCGACAGCGCCCACCGATCCGCCGACGCAGCCGACCGCGACACAGGACGGCAGCGGCGACACGACAATGGAGGATGCCAGCACCGCCATGGCCAAAGCAGGCGACCCCTCTGCCAGGGCGGGTACCCCGTCGACTGGCGGCCAGCTTGACCGCGCCGCCTCTACCGTACGGCCCTCGGAACCACCCACGGCGGGCAGCCTTCTTTCCGCTCCTGCAGGCCCAGACTACTCGGTGGGCCTGCTGGCGCCTCAGCTGACGGATCTACCACCGCAGGCGCCCACCTTCCGCACGGTAGACGTCAAGCGCGAGGTGCAGCGGGTCAAGGACGCTCGCAAGCGCATCCGGCTCGACCCCTCGCTGCTGACGGCCAAGGCGACGACCGGCGGCGCACCCTCGACCCACTCCTTCCGCTTCTCCTCGGGCGTGCGGGACGCTAGCATCAATGCGCTGGGCGAGGAGGGCGCTCGAGCCGCTCGCCACGCAGCGCTCCCCAGCGTCTGCGCCTACACCTACCACGATGCCGACGACGGCGTCACCTGCTCCACGTTTTCGCAGGACGTCTCATTGATGGCCGCGGGCTTCGAGGAGAGCTTTGTGCAGGTGTGGAGCCTCAAGGGAGAGAAGCTGCGCGGGCTCAAAGGCGACCCGCACCTCGGCGGCGCGCGCGACCGGCGCTCGCTCGAGCGGCAGCGCGAGGCGCAGGCGTACACAACGCGCAAGCTCATCGGACACTCTGGGCCGGTGTACGGCGTCGACTTTGACCCAGTCGGCGGGTCGGCCTCGGCCCCCAAACACCTGCTCTCGTCGTCGGCCGACGGCACGGCGCGGCTGTGGAGCCTAGAGACGTTTGGCGCGCTGGTCGCCTACCGCGGGCACCAGCACCCGGTCTGGGACGTCAAGTGGAGCCCGCTCGGCACCTACTTTGCGACGGCCAGCGCGGACAAGACGGCACGCCTGTGGAGCACGGAACGCATCAACCCACTGAGGATGTACGCCGGCCACCTGAGCGACGTCGACGTGAGTAGACCCGGTAGCGCCCCTGGTGCCCTCTAGACGTGCTATAAGCTGACGTCTGCCGACGCGGACTTTTTCCCTCCGCTGTGCGATGCTTGCAGTGCCTTGCGTTCCATCCCAACTCGCTCTACCTCGCCACTGGGTCGTCGGACCGCACCGTGCGGCTGTGGGACGTTCAGCGGGGCGCGTGCGTCCGGCTTTTTGTCGGGCACCAGTCACCAATCTCGTGCCTCGAGGTGTCGCCAGACGGCAAGTACCTCGCTTCGGCCTCGACGGGCAGCGGCACCGCGTCGCCGTTTGGCAACGAGGACCCGAGCTCGATCTCGTCGCAGACCAACGACGTCAGCATCTCGCTCTGGGACCTGGCGTCCGGGCGGCGCATCAAGAAGATGTGGGGTCACCGGGAGCGGGTCAACTCGATGTCGTTTTCCGCCGACGGGTCCATCCTGGTCACGGGTGGCCAGGACAGGTCGGTGCGGTGCTGGGACGTCCGCGCCGTCGGCGGGCAGCGCAAGGCAGCGTCGTCGACGATCGCATCGGCCGACACCGGCGTCATGGCCTCATCGACGCCAGCATCCGCGGCAGTAGCAGCAGCAGCAGCGGCGGCGGCTTCGGTGGCGACCCCTACGGCGGCGTCGAGAGGCGGAGCGGCAGCGGCGGCGGCGGCGGCGGCGGCAAAGGTGGACTGGCACTCGAGCGCTGACTGCATCGCGACATTTTATACCAAGGGGACGCCGCTGGTGGATGTCAAGTTTACGCCGCGCAACCTCTGCCTGGTCGCGGGCGTCTACGGAGGGTAGCGCGAGGCAAGGCAGCAATGACGGGCGGGCCAGTCAGCCAGCCAGCCAGCGGAGGTGCGCCGAGGAAACGACGACGGCGGTCGCCCTGCCCTTGTATCGCCATTTGGCTACCTGCTTCTATCGAATTCGGCGTCGATGCCAGGGAGGCCGCAACGAGGCGCTTGCCAGCCCACAACTGATCGTACGCCTGCCCTGCTGGAAGACTTTGCCCGGGCTCGAAGCGGAACCGCGGGCCGACTGCCGGTGCACTGTACGTGGGACGCCGGACCGGGCCGATCCCGAAGCCCCGTCGACATGCATACGACCACCTGCTGGCGAGTATCGGCCGAGTGCCGTGTGCGCTCGGCGTAGCACGGGTACGAATGGCGCCGGCCCAACGTCGCGCCGGCGTAGTACGGGCTGAGTCCTGCGTAACTTGGAGATGGCCACCTGGCTTGCTCTCGGAAAGCCTTGGCCCGCCAGGCAGCGATCGATAGGGCCCGCCACGCCCCGCCACGCCACCTTTGACCCTGAGCCCGCCCGTCCTTGCCCATGCATGGGTCTTTGAAGAAGCCGTGGCTGCTGACGGTCGACTGGGCCACGAGCACAAATAACGTACGTGCAGCTGGCAAGGCGCAGCTGCTTGGCGTTTCATGGGCGTAGGCCGTCGGAGGTCGGTCTCGGGAAGTGGGCGACCCGACGCGACCGGACTTGACCTGACCTAGGCCTGCGCCTTCAAATGAAGCGGGAAGTCAGGCCCCGGGCCAGCCAAGCTAAGGCGGTCGGGCCGGTCCCGCATGGCCCCCAAAGCAAGAGCCGGCCTCGGAGCGACCCTGCCTGCGTGCGTGCCGTGTCGTGGCTTCCGACGACCGAGCTGTAGCCCGGCCGCATCCACGTACGCTGCTGCTGTCGAGCTCGACGACCATGAGCGGCTTGTCCCGACGCGATTTTATTTTTCTCTCGCTCTCTTCTCCTCTCTTGCTCGCCTGGCTGCTTGGCCCGTCGACGCCTGCTTGCTTCTTGCGTATGGGGCTGGTGGACCTGCCTGTGAAGACGTCACGCCCGCCTCGCCGTCGCTCTCGAGCCGGTCTGCAGCCAGCCAGCTCTATCTCTGCCTGACGTCCCAAGCCTGCCTGCCTTCCTGCCTGCTGCCGTTGGCTCACCGAGCGTTTCTGCACCCTTCCGACCCGATCCGAGCTCTCAGCTCAGCCTCGGTTGTTTTTTGCGTGGTCGAGCTGGCTGAGGTGGGGGAGGGCTGCTTCATATGCGGGACCTGCCGCGGCAGACAAGCAAGCAAGCAGGCTAGCTAGGCAGGGTGGCTGGGCAAGAAGCTAGGCCGGGCTGGCGGCGAGGCCCGAGCGCTCCATCTGGTCATCCTGCAGGCGGGCGCTCGGCCTCTCTCGCGCATCTGCTCCCTTCACCGGCCTCTTCTCTGGCCTGGCCTGTCCTGGCCTGGCCCGCCTGCCTCTGCCCTTCTCCCAGCAGAGCGAGGCTGGCTGGCTGCCAGCTGCAGGCGCGCGCGACGCGGCCGGCCGCGCCAAAACCTCGGTCGTCCGCCCCGCCTAGCCCAGCCTGGACCTTCTTGGCCCAGAGTCGGCAATCAAACAGACACGCCGGCAGGCGGGCAGGCGGGCAGGCAGGCAGGCAGGCGGTTCGTCAGGCACAGCCAGCCAGCCCTGGCCGCTGGCTGGACGGCCTGAGCGGAGCACGCCG